TAATTTGAAAGGCAGAGGCCGGCACCGCGGCTCACTAGGCTAATCCTCCGCCTTGCGGTGCCGGCACACCGGGTTCTAGTCCCGGTCGGGGCGCCGGATTCTGTCCCGGTTGCCCCTCTTCCAGGCCAGCCCTCTGCTGTGGCCAGGGAGTGCAGTGGAGGATGGCCCAGGTGCTTGGGCCCTGCACCCCATGGGAGACCAGGAAAAACACCTGGCTCCTGGCTCCTGCCATCGGATCAGCGCGGTGCGCCAGCCTCGGAGGCCACTGGAGGGTGAACCAACGGCAAAGGAAGACCTTTCTCTCTGTCTCACTCTCTCTCCCTGTCCACTCTGCCTGTCAAAAAGAAAGGAAGGAAGGAAGGAAGGAAGGAAGGAAGGAAGGAAGGAAGGAAGGAAGGAAGGAAGGAAGGAAGGAAGGCAGGGTTGCAGAGAGAGAGGGAGAGACAGAGAAAGAGATCTTTCATCTGCTGGCTCACTCTCCCAAATGGCCACTAAGGCCCGGGCTAAGTCAGGCTGAAGCCAGAACCCAGGAACTCCATCCAGGTCTCCCACATGGATGATAGGGGTCCAAGTCCTTGGAGCATCTTCTGCTGCTTTCCCAGATGTATTGGCAGGGAGCTGCATCAGAAATGGAGCAGCCGGGAGTCTCAGCAACAGACGCTCATATGGGATGCCAGCATTGCAGGTGGCAGCTTAACTCGATGTACCAGAACGTCAGCCCTGCTAGGGCCGGATCTTAAAATGCAGTCGCCGGATCTGCAGCCTTGGTGCCCTCTGGGAACTTGTCAGAAATATTCAGTCTTTTATTTTATTTATTTGAAAGACAGAGTTACAGAGAGAGGTAGAGCCAGAGAGAGAGAGGTCTTCTACCCGCTGGTTCACTCCCTAGCTGATTGCAACAGCCAGAGCTGAGCTGATCCGAAGCCAGGAGCCAGGAGCTTCTTCCAGGTTTCTCACATGGGTGCAGGGGCCCAAGGACTTGGGCCATCTTCTACTGCTTTCCCAGGCTGTAGCAGAGAGCTGGATAGGAAGAGGAGTAGCTGGGATTTGAACCAGCACCCATATAGGATGCCAGCACTGCAAGCGGCGGCTTTACCCGCTATGCCACAGCACCGGCCCCTGATCTACCATAATTTAAATGATGTTCCCCCAAACAGATTTCCCCATGAAGCAAGCCAACAGCAACTTTGTAAGTCTCCAAAGCCAGTGTGGTCTCTGGTTCTAGCCTCCACGGTTCAGGTCTTCACCTCCCATGCCTCCTCTCATCAAATCTCACCACCCTGTGTCCGTCTAATCCCTCCAGGCCTGTCCAGGTACCTGGTTAAAAGTCCCAACTAAATGTATGGAATTATTATGTTGAACACCAAAAATGCAGAGAACTCCATGATGTGAAGGAGAAATTGAAGAAAAAGATGTTCGGCCTCACTTCTAACCAGAAGAATGCAAATGTGATACGTTGTTTCAGTTTTCAATTACCATGAATAATGATGAAGAAGAATGAAAATACTAGCATTTGAGAGGCTTTAGGGAGATAAGAAGTCTTGTGCACATTGGTGGGAGTGTACCTTGACACAGGCTTTCTGGAGAAGAGTTTGGCAAAGTGTGATATAAATGTAAAAATGCACAGTTACCACAATTTCACCCATTGTGCAGGAGCAAAGGGTGTTCAAACCAGCCTTATTTATTATAAAGAATAATTAGAAATGGCCGGCGCCGCGACTCACTAGGCTAATCCTCCGCCTTGCGGCGCCGGCACACCGGGTTCTAGTCCCGGTCGGGGCGCCGGATTCTGTCCCGGTTGCTCCTCTTCCAGGCCAGCTCTCTGCTGTGGCCCGGGAGTGCAGTGGAGGATGGCCCGAGTCCTTGGGCCCTGCACCCCATGGGAGACCAGGATAAGTACCTGGCTCCTGCCATCGGATCAGCGTGGTGCGCTGGCCACAGCGCGCCGACTGTGGCGGCCATTGGAGGGTGAACCAACGGCAAAAAGGAAGACCTTTCTCTCTGTCTCTCTTTCTCACTGTCCACTCTGCCTGTCAAAAAAAAAAAAAAAAAAAGAATTAGAAATAAGCTAAAAGTTTATGAGGACTGTTCATATCAATGATGGGACCTCCATACAATGGAATACCAAAAAGAACTTAAAACTATATGACCACTTGTAGACATGAAAGAATGTTCACTGGGTACCATGTCCTTCAGGTCCTTTGTGGTGCCATTAAGGTAGTTAGTGCACCTGCACACACACATGTGTACATGATAGTCATCAAAATGTCAACCATGACATCTTACGGTTGGGTGAGTTCTGAAGGACTTGGCCTTGTTTTTGTAATTGTTTCTAAAACTACGAAAGTAATGGTGTTTATTTTTACCGTAACAGCCAACACCAGCGCAGTGTATCTTGTGTGCCACTGCCACACTGCTTGCTGTATACTGCTACTATTCCTGAGGGAAGCAAAGGGGGTGCTCTCAAGTAACTTTCCCAAGGCCCACGTAGGAGACTCAAAACCCAGTAGTCGGGGCCAGCCGGCGCTGTGGCACAGCGGGTTAACACCCTGGCCTGAAGCGCTGGCATCCCATATGGGCGCTGGTTCTAGTCCCTACTGTTCCTCTTCCGATCCAGCTCTCAGCTATGGCCTGGGAAAGCAGTTGAATATGGCCCAAGTCCTTGGGTCCCTGCACCCATGTGGGAGAACTGGGAGAAGCTCCTAGCTCCTGGCTTCAGGTCAGCACAGCTCCGCCCATTGCGGCCATCTAGGGAGTGAACCACCAGATGGAAGACCTCTCTCTCTCTCTCTCTCTGCTTCTCCTCTCTCTGTGTAACTCAGACTTTCAAATAAATAAATAAATCTTTAAAAAAAAATAGTCTGCTCCACAGACTGTGCTCTTTCTGCACTAACTGTCCCCAGCAGAAGCTCTCTTAAATCCTGCCGCAACACTTTCAGACACAAGTACACGCGCGCGCGCGCACACACACACACACAATAAAACGGGGTGACAGTGTCCCTCCCATTTTTGTTTACTCTGGGGGCTTTCTACAGCATGGACATCTGCAATGAATGTAACCATGCTTCTACTGAAAAACTGGTGGTTTCCAGGTCTTCACCCTACCGGAAAGTAGTGAGCGTCCTGGTATACTCACTGCTGGGTGTAGGTGTGTGCTTATGTTCCTGAGATAATTTCCTGGAGGAGGAGCCACGGGGTCAATAGGTGTGCACACCAAGTGCTGAGAGAGGCTGCCCATGTGAAGCAGGCCTGTGTGAGAGTGGCCACCCCTCAGATTTTCCCTGACGCAGGAAGTTGTCAGTCTTAAATGGAGAATGTGATTTCACTTGTCGTTGTTACTAGTAAGGCTGAGCATCTTTCCTGTGTTTCCTTCAGTTGTTTTTTTTTTTCCAGAAGAATCCACTTTCCTTCTTGTTTTATGATCATTTAAAAGGCTGAATGATCGTGAGAGGGAGGGAGGGAAGGATGGAGAGAGAGAGAGAGAAAGAGAGAAAAAGAGAAAGAGAGAAAAAGAGAAAGAGAGAAAGAGAGAATGAGAATATTACTTCCTTATGGTTCACTCCTGGAATGGTTGCCACAGGAAGGGTTAGGCCAAGCCGAAGCTAACTCTATCTGGGTCTCTCACATGAGTGGCAGGAACTAAGTACTTGGACCATCTTCTGTTGCTTTCCTGGCACACTGACAAGAAGCTGGGCTAGAAGCAGAGTAGCCAGACTCAAACCAGGTGCTGCCGAGTGGTGGCCTAACTCACTGTGCCATCATGCCTGCCCTAGAACTGTTTCCTTTCTATTGTGTGATTTGACTTTTTCTCACCAATTCAAAGGAGCTTTTGGTGCTGTGTTATAAATACCGTCCTTCTAGCGTTCCGCTGCACACATGTTCCCCAGGACTCAGTTCTCTTTGAACTTGACCTATGACTGACTTCATCATATAGAAGTTTGCACTTTATTTTTGTGTAATCAAATCTGTTAGTTTTTTCCTTGATAGTTTTACATCTTGTTTAGGATGTATCTCCAAGAATGCAAGTACTCTCCCATATTCTTTTCAGGTATATTTGCATTTTTGTTTATGAATTTATTTGTATGTTTACACTTTAATCCATGAAGGGCTTGGTGTGTGTTTGGCAAAAAGTAGGAACCTACCCTTTAATTCTTGGGATGATCATCTTTTAAACAACTCCCTCATTAAAACCCGAGTCTTGGGGATGCTCTGGGCTGTGTCTGCTCTGTGGTCCTGCTGTCCCCTTTCTGTATCTGGGTTAGAATTATACTGTTTTAATCACTTGAGATATTCAGCAAGATTTCCTATCTGCTAGGGCAGGACCCTTCCTGCTCCTCTTCTTTTTAAATTGCCCCTAAGTGTTTCAGGCACTTACTTTCTCAGAGGAACTTTAGAATTAGTCATGAGCCAAAAATATTCCCTTGGGATTTCAGTTACCATAGATGGAAGTTACTCGCTGAGGTGAGGCTGACATTTTGAAGTATTTTATTTATTTGAAAAGCAGAGTTAGAGAGAGAGAGGGAGATCTTCTATCAGCTGGTTCATTTCCCAAATGGTCCCAAGAGCCAGGACTAGGCCAAGCCAAAGCCAGGAGCTCCATCTGGGTCTCCCTCATGAGAGGCAGGGGCCTAAGCACTTGAGCCATCTTCTGCTTTCCCAGGATTATTAACAGGAGCCTGGATCAGAAGGGGAACACCTGAGACTTGAACCGGTGGCCAAATAGGATGTCAGTATTGCAAGCCACAGCTTAACCTGCTGTGCCACAGTGCCAGCCCCAAGGCTGACATCTTGACACAGTGATCCGCAGGTCTGCAGCCAGGACTCCTTCCTCCCCCAATCCCTGATCCCTCAAGAGACCCTCTGCTTGTGAGTGTAGGACCAGCACCTGAACAACATCTGCCTCACGAACCCACAGGCACATGCCCTCTTCTACAGAGACCCAGGCGGGGCCTCCTGAGGGCACTGGCCATACACTGAACCCCATCCTCACCCCCTTCCAGGTGGATAAAGTTTGAAGAAAAGGTAGAGGAAGGAGGTGAACGCTGGAGCAAGCCCCACGTGTCCACGCTGTCCCTGCACAGCCTCTTCGAGCTTCGCACCTGCCTGCAGACGGGGACAGTGCTGCTGGATTTGGACAGCGGCTCCTTGCCACAGATCATAGGTGAGGCAGGGGCCCCTGTGCACAGCGCTCTTGCTATCCTCTCAAAGACAGGGACAGAGTCTTGCCTTAAAATACCTACAGAGTTTTGTGAGTCTTGTACTAGCCCATTCAATGTTCCAGAAGTATTTTGCCCAAGAATACATTTTAGGATGAAAAGAAATTGAACATGGCATTTTTATGCTACCTGGGGCACTTTCTTAGTTGCTATTTATTTTGCCCTTCATAATAACATTGAGCGATAGAGCAGAGACTTCTACACACACACACCCAGAGACATGTACATAAGCAGACTGAGGGTCTGTGAGACGTCCAGGTTTCCAGTTAGTGGCAAAGCCAGGGCCTTTCCACACCGCCTGCCACCTTTAGCTCACTCCTAATCCTACTGGTAACAGATGAAGACTCCCCCACCACCATCCCGGGGCCATTCTGTGGCACGCAGACCAGGACCAGGTGTGTTTGTTTCCCACTCAGATGATGTCATTGAGAAGCAGATCGAGGACGGGCTCCTGCGGCCAGAGCTCCGGGAGAGGGTGAGCTACGTCCTCCTGCGGAAACACCGTCACCAAACCAAGAAGCCCATCCACCGCTCCCTAGTGGACATTGGAAAGTCGGTCTCCTCCACCACAAGTGAGTCAGGCTGTCTGCTGGGGGCGGCAGGCTCGTGGGCCAGCGTGATGAGGGGGCGCTCCGAGGGGGCCAGGTCTATCTGCAGAAGTCCTAAGGGTCTGGGCTCCCTCAGCCTCCTCTGCTGGCAGGACTGTGGGACCCCAGCCACACTCCAGTGCTGTCCCCACTGCCAGGGCAGAACGATTGCTTGGAAGAGAGTTGGTTCTCAGCCTGGAATGCACAGGGCCATCACACGTGCCTGGAACGTGTCCGGGACAGTCTGGGTTGTGGCCCAGGAACAGAGACGGTGGTTGGAAAGCTCTACAGGAGATCCTCAAGTGCACGCAGCTGGGAAATGCTGCTAGCGATGACTCACTTAGGAAAAGGCCTGAAAGTTTCCCACTGAACCCCAAGAGGAGCCGAGCCTTGGCAGAAGCCACATGGAGGTGGTAGAAGGAGCGAGTTCATCCCAAGGATGCCTTGGCTTGTGTGATTGGCAGAGCCTGGGGCCAGTAAGGGAGACTGCATGGTCCCGGGTAAACAGCTCAAACCCCACCCTCCTCAGGATCTGAGTGGAGAAGCCCAGAGACACCAGCCCTACTGAACCTGTCAGAGAAATGCAGTCACCAGAACAAAGCTGACAAAGTCACTAAGTAAACACCCTCAAGGAACAGAGAGCACTGAGTGTGTCCTAATACCAGCAGGTAGACGACCCTTGCTCGCTTGTACTTGAGGGGTTCCCAGCACTGTTCTGAGTCGCCTCCTGTGAGAACTCACTTCATTCTCATCATCATTTCGTGGCTTTAGGCACTGTTCTTGTCATCCCTGTTTACAGATGAGGCACAGAGAGGTTAAGTAACTTTCCTAAGGCCACACAGCCAGGAAGCAGGGATGAACCCAGGCAGTCTGCCGTATCTGCTGCCTATTTAATCAGATGTGTATCTGTCTCATTTTCAACAGTTCAAATATTTCTCTGTAATCTTGTTCAGACTATTAATTTGCTTGCACACACCACATTCTTCCCATAAGGGGAAGACATGTGTCTTGCGGCCCAGCTTTGTTTAGCTAAAGTGACCAGACTGTGCTAATCTGGAGGCTGTGCTGCGCCAGCCCGGCTGCCGAAGTCGGTGCCTCTGTTCTTCCTCCCAGATCGCAGCCCCGCCCGGAGCCCTGCCACCGGCCCAAGTCTGCACCGCTCCACTGAGGACCTGAGGTTGCGGCAAAGTGCAAATTACGGACGTCTGTGTGAGTATTGCCTGCTGCCCGCCACAGCTTCGTCCCGGCTGGGACTGCGGCGGGGTGTGCTCCTTTTCCCAGGCAGAGAGGTGTGCACAGGAGAACTCCAACTGCTGCCCAGAGCCGGGGCTGCTCTCACGGCCCGATACACTATCCAGACATCCCAAGTAACTCTTCTAAAGATGAGGCTCTGGTTCAAATGCTGCCATAATTAGCACCCAGTCCTGAGTTATAGGCATTCAAATAGGGGTGGGGGATGTCCAGCCCGTCAGTCATATAAACCCTGCAAAATCATTTGGTTTGGCCCTGTCAGGGCAACCACAGATGAGACTCAAAATCCAATAGGTCTGTGCAGACTAATTGTTAATTGACAGTTTTGTATGGCTCGCAAATGGTGTTATAGATATCCAATGGCCCTTGGCAGAAAAGAGGATTCCCTCCCCCTTTGCTTTCACTAACCCTGTTATTAGCACACACTCCCCCTCCCCTTTTGTGGAAAACATTTCCCAGAAACCTGATTTAAAACAGTTAACGTTGCCGTGGCTCAATAGGCTAATCCTCCACCTTGCGGCGCCGGCACACCGGGTTCTAGTCCCGGTTGGGGCGCCGGATTCTGTCCCGGTTGCCCCTCTTCCAGGCCAGCTCTCTGCTATGGCCAGGGAGTGCAGTGGAGGATGGCCCAGGTGCTTGGGCCCTGCACCCCATGGGAGACCAGGAAAAGCACCTGGCTCCTGGCTCCTGCCAGGATCAGCGCGGTGCGCCGGCTGCAGCGGCGGCCATTGGAGGGTGAACCAGCGGCAAAAGGAAGACTTTCTCTTTCTGTCTCTCTCTCTCACTGTCCACTCTGCCTGTCAAAAAAAAAAAAAAAAAAAAAAAAAAAAAACAGTTAAGGCCCTCCCTTCCCCCCAGGAGGGTTAGACAATGTCCCCATCACTGGCTCACAGTCTCCTCCCAGCGTAAAGAAGAAATGTGGGCAGAGCCACAGCCGCTCTGGATTGGACTGGGGGCTTCTGAGGTGAAAGGTCACAGACAGGCTTTTTTAGGCAGCTCACAAGGGGTTAACAGGCAGATGAGCTCTGAGCGAAGAAGACAGAACCTGGACAACTAGGAGAGAGAGCGGTGTGGGGGAGCGCCTTCCTTTAAATACCTTCACTAAAATGCCAGGACAGGAACAAGTGCAGCCCGGGGCCGGGCCCCTGGCCAGGCTCCAGGAGTGACTTAGGGAGAAGGCGCCCGTGGCATCAGCCACAGCAAGCATTTGCTCCAGGGTCTTCTCTCTGCCTGCTTCCCCTCCCCTGTCCTTGTTAATCCTTGTGGGGATGCCAGTGGCCGGGTCAGCAGGCAGAGGGAAGGCCTTCCACTCAGTCATTGTGTGTGAGCAGCCTCTGTGCTCAACACTGCATGGTGGTGGGAACCTAGGTGTGAGGTGTGAACAAGAGAGCGCAGCCTGTGTGAACCAGCTGATAGTCAAGGTGTGCACCACCCTAAGGTGGCCCAGAGCATAGAACCTACCCGGGAAGGCTCAGAGGAAGACATGGGCAGCAGAGTCTTGGAGAGTACATGGGAGTTTTCCAGGAACATGGAGGGGCCAGAGGGTGGTCTAAGTTAAGGTTGCAAGGAGCAGGGGAAGGGAGGGAACACTGGCTGAGTTCACCAGAACTACGAGGGGTAAGGGCAAGAGAGGTCAAATCCAAGAGGGCCTTGTGTTCCCAGGAAAAGAATCAGACTTCATTCTGAAGGTAACGGGGTCTCCCAAGAAGCTGGGCGCAGGAGCATGCCATCTGAGAAAGGGTAAACTGGAAAGGAGCAAGGTTGGAACGAGAGACTGAGCCTACATTCAGGATGGGGGAGGAAAGGATTTCATGACTGGTGAGAAGTAGGAGGTGAGGGAGAGGGAGGAGCCGCTTCTCTGTGAATGCTAAGGGGTGCCAGTGAGGGGCACTGAGTGGGACAGGTGTGTGATTCAATGGGAGATGATGAGCTGAGTTTGAGGTGCCAGGTGGGGCAGTTCCAAGGGAGCCCAGGGGAGAGGTCAGACTGGAGATCCTTCCTGGTGTCCTCAGCCCAAACGTGTAGTGGAAGCAACAGGAGTGGATGTCATTGGCAGGAGGGACAGGCTGAAGCCCCTGGAGGGGATGAGAGCAAAGACTCCAAGGGGGCCCAATCAGGAGAGGATCCTGGGTTAGAAGAACAAGGAGGAGAGCCAAAGAAAGCTAAGCCACAAAGTGTTCTGGAAGCAGCTCGTTGTCATAGGCTAAAAGCAGAGAAATGTAGGTCTGAGAGTGCCCCCTGTGGTGGGCTGCTAGTGGGAAATGAGAGCTTTTTCCTGCTGTAACCAGGATAGGAACTATCAAATGAGGCACTGTCACTTTCTCCCCACGAGGAGCTTCCTCTCCGTCTAAATCCTCAGGCCATCTTCAGAGTCTCATGGGTCATGGAGGGGAGACGTAAGGCTGCTCTGTCCCTGTCTGTCTCCAACAAACCCCAAGCTCGTTGACACCTGGCACCTCATCAGATAATGCACCTCTGTCCCACCCCTGATCTGGGCCTGGCCCAGAGGCAGCACCTGGAGTAGACTCAGCAGTGAGGCCCAAGAAGATGGGGCTGAGGGGTAGAGGCCAGGGTGCAGCAGGCCGAGCAGTGAGAAGGAAAGGGTGGAGCATGGAGTCCGTCTGCTCTTTCAAGAAAGCTCCCATTGGAAGGAAGGGAAGTGAGAGGACGTGGTCTTGAAGGGGCTGCAGGATTAAGGGCAAGGGGGTCTTGCTTTGGTCATGGACATGGGGGAGACAAGAGTGGGAGCCAAGAGAAAAGGACCTGGGAAGGCCTGGCTTCCTCTGACGACCTCCTTTTCCTTCTCTCCTAGGTCATGCCCAGAGCAGAAGCATGAATGACATTTCTCACACCCCAAACACAGACCAGGTAGTAAAGTCCCTGTACTTGGCTTTGGTGGAGGGCCAGGGCAGGGTAGGAATCCCCAGAAAGGACCCCAGTGGGGACTCTGGGCTGCCTGGGTGACCCTGCCCAGCTCATCATCAGGTCCTGATTGAGTCCCAGGCTCTGGGAGAACATGGTCAGGTGACATGCCAGGCGTCCTTGCGCTGGGATGTTTTGGAGAGGCCAGCCCTTGTAGCTTCACCTTTCCTGTGACCCACAGTGACTTTCAAGGTGAGATGGGAACTGAGGCTGGCAGAGCAGGAAGTGATACCTCCCTGGGGCAGAACGGTGATGAGAGTTAGTGAATTGGACTGCCCAATAGTGAGTCTTCATCCTCAGCCAGACTAGGAGAACATCCACTCTGGTCTCTTCCACCTTGGCTGAAACCCTCTTGATGAGATCAGAATTCTACAAACTGGTAGAGTCAGAGTTCTAAGGCCCAGAGCCCAGGACACCTGTGGCTGTGTCTCCTGGGGAAGCCCAGAGAGGACCCTCTTGATCCCAGCCCCTGTGTACCTCAAGGCAGGAGGTTGCTGTACCCCAGGAGTAGGAAGGGAGATGATGAAGGACTCCTGAAACTGGCTGTGGAGTCTGGGGGAACTTAGGTGACCTTCAGGCCTTCAGACACCCCCCAGTTTGATGGAAGACAAAACAACATCACTGTCTCATGTCACCGCCCTGAGGGTCCTTGATGTCCAAAATAGTAATGTGCGTCAACACTGGAGGTCCTCACGCTGCGTGTGCTACACCATCACAAGGGATTTCTGTGTGTCCTGAAGGTGCTCTTGTCACATTTCCCTGGAAAGAGGACATTGAGGCATGAAGCAGCCTTGTAACATACAAGGCCACACTGCTGCAGGTGGCACAGCCATAATTTGACCCAGGCAGTCCGACTCCAGAGCTCTTAATTTGGAAGTAGTTTAGGAACCAGTCAGTATTCCGGATTATTCTTATTACAGTCGTACACACAATGGACCCATGATAAGAAAGCAGTGCCTAGTAAAAGGCTTTCATAGCCTATTTTAATAAATGCTCAGGTGGTAATAATACTGCCAGCTGTCTCCTTCACCAGGCAGTGTGCTTCCTTGCTTTAGGGTCTGGAACCCAGCCCCTGGAGCCAGTGTCCGGTTCTCCTGACCAAAGCCCGCAGCTGCTTCTTAGTGCTGGCAGCTTTAGTGATTTGTGGGCCAGTGGGTGTTCTTCAGGTGCAAGCATAGAGGTGTTTGCTCTGCAGGGCCTCTCTTCATCATAGGTGTGTGCAAAACTGAATTCCCTGCCCTCCCTCAGACAGCAGCTTCCCAGTGAACAGTGGATTCAGGCAACATCACCATACTGTAAAGCTTGATCAGAGTCCCCACTGGCTCATCAAACAGGGTCTGCAGGGCCCTGTTGGTCAAGCCCATATGCAGGCTGTGGCCATGCCACAGTGGCCAGAATGCCAGTGTGCCCCCACTTCTGGGATGCCACCACCCCAACCTTCTGACCAACCTGCAAGGAAAGGGCCAAGGCCTCCTTTTCTCTCCTGGCCTATAAGTGTGCTGGTTGGGCCACCCCAAAGCATTGATGCTTTTATTTATTTATTTATTTAAGATTTATTTATTTACTTGAGAGGCAGTTACAGACAGAGGGAGAGACAGAGAGAGAGGTCTTCCATCTGCTGGTGCACTCCCCAAATGGCCACAATGGCTGAAGCTGAACTGATCAGGAGCCAGGAGCTTCTTCCAGGTCTCTCACATGGGTGCAGAGGCCCAGACACTTGAGCCATCTTCTGCTGCTTTCCCAGCCCGTCAGCAGGGAGCTAGTTCAGCAGTGGAGCATCCTGAACTTGAACTGGCGCCCATATGGGATGCTGGTACAGCAGGCAGATGCCTAACCTACTATGCCACAGCAGCGGCCCCCGTTATTGCTTTTAAATCCTCATTCTCTGGGATGCTCCTGCCCACCCCACTCTTCCTCCTCTCCCCTGGACCCACTTCCTCCTCAGAGACATGGAGCTGGCATGGGGATGGTGGATGCCTGGCACACCCAGCCCTCCATCCTAGAGAACACTGGTTATTATTAATCAGCTGACTATGCCTAGGACAAAGGGACTTTCTGAGCCTTGGGGACTCTGGCCTTCCCCCCAACTCCTGCCCTTGGTTATTCTTACCATATTAGGAGCCTTTGGAGCTATTGCTGGTTGCCTGGGCAGTTGTGGAGAGTTTTCCATTTTTTTCCAATTGGATTTAAAAGATTATAAGGGTGCAGCCCCTGCTCACGTGCCTCCCCTTGTGCTGCTAGGACACCCAGCCCAGCATGTGTCACTCTCCCCAGGAGTCGGATCAGGAAACAGCTGTGGGCACGGGGGTCCTGCAGAAAATAGACATCTCCGTGCCCACAGGAGAGGCTCCGGGGCAGGGCTGTGGGGGTGCGGCGGGGCTGGTAGGAAAAGGTGACATCCCCAGGAGCTCTTCAGGGTGCCAGCCTGTACCCCATGTCAGCCACCACGGGCTCCAGCCAGCCTTACTCTCCTCAGATGCTCCCTCTTCTTCTCCCTGCAAAGTTATTTCTCTCTTATCCTTCCCCTTACCACCCCTGGTGGGGAGTGGGGGGCACAAAGTGGAAAAGCAGCTCATTCTGATGTGTTCAGAACTACAACAAGCTCCTCAGTGTCCAGCCCTGGGGTGTTGTCACTGTCAAAGAAGACTCAGAGGGCCGGCGCCGCGGTTCACTAGGCTAATCCTCCGCCTAGCGGCGCCGGCACACCGGGTTCTAGTCCCGGTCGGGGCGCCGGATTCTGTCCCGGTTGCCCCTCTTCCAGGCCAGCTCTCTGCTGTGGCCTGGGAAGGCAGTGGAGGATGGCCCAAGTGCTTGGGCCCTGCACCCCATGGGAGACCAGGATAAGCACCTGGCTCCTGCCATCGGATCAGCGCGGTGCGCCGGCTGCAGCGCGCTGGCTGTGGCGGCCATTGGAGGGTGAACCAACGGAAAAGGAAGACCTTTCTCTCTGTCTCTCTCTCTCACTGTCCACTCTGCCTGTAAAAAAAAAAAAAAAAAAAGAAGACTCAGAGGTAACCAAGTCATAAATGCAGGCAGCCAGGAGTAAGTCTGTGCAGAGGGGGGCACATCAGACCCTACTTGCTCTGCCTCTTTTTTTTTTTTTTTAAGATTTATTTTATTAATTGGAAATGCAGAGTGGGAGGGAGGGAAAGAGATCTTCCATCCATGATCTGCTCCCCAAATGGGTGCAACAGCCTGGCGGACCTGGGCTAAGCCAAACCAAGAGCCTAGAACGCCATCTGAGTCTCCCTAGATGGTAGGAACACAAGGACTTGGGCCATCTTCCGCTGCCTTCCCAGGTGCATTGGCAGAGAGCTGGATTGGAAGTGTAGCAGCCAAGATTTGGACAATATGGGATGCCGGCTTCGCAGATGGCATCTTAACCCTCTGCACCATAAAGCCAGCCTCTTTGCTCTGCCTCTTTGGCCTTCCTGCCCTAGACGGACAACAGTCAGGGGGACCAGAGGGGGGCCACCCCAACAGTCTCAGGTGGAAATCTGAGTTTCCTAGGAGGTCTCCTGGGGGTGACTTGGGGTCACAGAAGTTTCCTGCAGACTTGGAGAGTGGTCCAGGGGTTCCTGTGAGCCAGAAAGCTGGTGACCAAGAGAAAACAAAGCCCACCCACCTCCACTGTGAGAACAGGCCCCTTCTTCCCACAGCCACCCAAGGTGCAGGCTGAGGGGAGGCCTGGGCGACTGCAGTGTGGGTGCTGAGATTCCGGCCTGCACCAGTGCCGCTGGCATCCAGCAAATCCCCACTGCGGTTAGGCAGTTTTCAAGCATGTCTTAGGGGTCGTCTGCAAAGGCTAATTGGTTTCTAGGGTTAACCAACACTGAGTCTTCTCATTTGTAAACTGGTTATTTCTTTCAGTCTCTTTAAAAACTCTTTTAAAAACTTTTAAAAGTTAGACCCCCAGGGCCGGCGTCGCAGCTCACTAGGCTAATCCTCCGCCCACAGCGCTGGCACACCGGGTTCTAGTCCTGGTCAAGGTGCCGGATTCCGTCCCGGTCACCCTCTTCCAGTCCAGCTGTCTGCTGTGGCCAGGGAGTGCAGTGGAGGATGGCCCAAGTGCTTGGGCCCTGCACCCGCATGGGAGACCAGGAGAAGCACCTGGCTCCTGGCTTTGGATCAGCATGCTGGCTGTGGCGGCCATTGGAGGGTGAACCAACGGTAAAGGAAGACCTTTCTCTCTGTCTCTCTCTCACTGTCCACTCTGCCTGTCAAAAATAAAAATAATAAAATAAAAATAAAAAAGTTAGACCCCCAGAGCAATCAGAAGAGGGGTGAGGGAATGAGGGCACTGTGGGGTCCCCAGGATTATCTTGTTTGCCTTCCCTGACCAGCGGAAAAACAAGTTCATGAAGAAGATCCCCAAGGACTCGGAGGCCTCCAACGTGCTGGTGGGTGAGGTGGACTTCCTGGACCAGCCATTCATCGCCTTCGTGCGTCTCATCCAGTCCGCCATGCTGGGAGGGGTGACCGAGGTGCCCGTCCCCACCAGGTGAGAGCCATGGAGAGCTGCCCCCACGCCTGTTCCCCAGGAGCCAGCTGTTCATGCAGGCAGCACACAGTGCTGGGAGACATGCCCCCGGGCTTGGAGATTTGCTAGGGAGGGAACTCTGACAAGCGATGAGTTAGCAACATTATTTAAGCTCATTCCCAAAAGAGAAGGAATCGAAGCTGAGAGGGAAGCTGCTGGGCAGGCATGGGAGCAGGACTAAGGGGAGGGAGCTGGAGGCGGAGCAGCTTTGTGGGAGCGAGTGAAGAACAAAGCCTTCCTGGACAAGTCCAGGATGCGAAGGAGAGGAGTGAGAAAGCCAAAGCCACGTGCTGCTTAGGGCATATACATCTTCACCTGCTTCTCCTTTGCCTTCTCATCTCAGCCCGCATCCTCCTCTTCGTCTTCTCTGCAGATTTCTGTTCATACTGCTAGGACCATCTGGGAGAGCAAAATCCTACAATGAAATCGGCCGTGCCATTGCAACCCTCATGGTAGATGACGTAAGTGGTGACGAGAAGCGTGTCCTCTGTTCCCACGTCCACAGGCACACTTGGGTGCCTACTGTGTACCGGGCCTGTGCAGGGTGCCAAAGGTGTCTCTGACCTTTAGGAGGGCGGGTCCAACGTCATGAGGTCTAACCCGTGCCAGCTGTCCTGGGAGTCGAGGGGGCTCCAAGCTGCGGGCTCTGTCCAGCGGAGGGCGAGCGAGAGGTTGGGAGACCCAGCATGAGCTTCGGAGGCAATATTCCAAAGGCAACAGCGGTCAGGTCTTGGAGAAGCTGGACGGAAGTGGTTCCACGGAGGGTCAGTTTAAGAGCTTTGAAGGCAGGAGGCAATGCCAGGGAGGCAAGCCCGGAACTGCACAGGCTGTAAGCAGAGAGGAGAGTTGGTTTGCACTCTGTCCCCATGGGGAGCTCTAAATGCAGGACTCACCCCGTCAGGTGTGAACAAGAGAGAGCGTGCTCTGGACACGGCAGCAGCCCCCAGCCTCTGAGGGCGAAGGGCCAGGCAGCAATAAACAGATTGGAGATGCCTGAGTTTCTCAGGCTGGGCTCTACAGAGATTTTCTAACGCAATTCCCTGTGGAAAACTGAAACCAGAAATACTGAGTAACTTGACCGAAGCCCTGCAGAACGTGGAGACCTGGCCTTTAGGTCCGAGATGGGCTGCCTTTCCGTGGTGCCTGCGCAACACCGGGCCCTGTGTTCCCTGCCCTGCTATGTTCTCGTGCCGCAAACAGAGGGAGCTGGCAGCCGGAGCAGCAGTTCAAAGTGTGACTAGACATAATGTGCTCCTGAGAGGTGGAATAAGGGGGGGGGGGGGCACTGTGGCACTGCGGGTAAAGCCGCTGCCTGCAACACTAGCGCATCTTGGCTGCCCCACCTCCGATCCAGCTCCCTGCTGATGGTCTGGGAAAAGCAGTGGGAGATGGCCCAAGTGTTGGGCCTCTGCCACCCACGTAGGAAACCTGGAAGAACCTCCTGGGTCCTGGCTTCGGATCAGCTCAGCTCCTACTGTTGAGGCCATCTGGGGAGTAAACCAGTGGATGGAAGACCTCTCTCTCTCTCTCTCTCTCTTTCCCTCTGTGTGTGTGTGTGTGTGTGTGTGTGTAACTCTGACTTTCAAATAAAAACAAATAAATCTTTTTAAAAAATAAAAAGAGAACGGGAAGCTGATCTTCCTTCTTGTGCCTTCCTCGCCAGCTCTTCAGTGACGTGGCCTACAAAGCCCGCAGCCGGGAGGATCTGATCGCTGGGATCGACGAGTTCCTGGACGAGGTCATTGTCCTCCCCCCTGGAGAGTGGGACCCAAACATCCGCATTGAGCCCCCCAAGAAGGTGCCCTCTGCCGACAAGAGGTGAGTGTGTGTGTGAGTGCAGGGGCGGGGAGGCGGGGAGGGAAGGAGCAGCCGAGACAACCAGGGCTCTAGCTCTGGCAGCATCATTTTCTCTCTTTTGTTAAAGATTGATTTTATTTAGTTGAAAGGCAGAGTGATAGAGTGAGAGGGACACACACACACACATACACACAGAGACAGAGGCTACAGATCTTCATTTCCCAAATGACTGCAACAGCTAAAGCTGGGCCAGACCAAAGCCAGGAGCCTGCAACTCCATCCAGGTCTCCCACGTGGATGGAAGGGCCCCAAGCACTTGGGCCATCTTCTGCTGCCTTCCCAGGTATACTGACACAGAGTGGGGTTGGAAGTGGAACAGCCAGGACTCAGACCAGCCCTCAGTTATGGGATGCTGGTGTGCAGGCAGCAGCTTAACCTGTGCCACAACACTAGCCCCTCATTTTTTCTTTTTGAAGCAAATACAGCTACATGTGAGCATTTGTAAATTCTGGGTGACCTGTGTGTGGGTGCTGTCAGATCATTGTTCTCTTTTAGGATAGTTTGTAACTTACTCTCTAGCAATCCTGGAGGGGCTGGGCCCTTCCCAAGACCAGCAGCCTTTCTTTCACCGCGTGCCTCGTGTTGCAGGAAATCCGTGTTCTCCCTGATGGAGCTAGGCCAGATGAACGGCTCTGTGGGAGGAGGCGGCGGCAGCGCAGCTGGAGGAGGCGGCGGTGGCAGCGGTGCTGGTGGTGGAGGGGCAGCCGGAGCAAGTGGCGGGGATGATGGAGAGATGCCAGCTGTGCATGAAATTGGGGAGGAGCTTGTCTGGACTGGAAGGTGCCCACCCCCGGCCTGACAGTGACCCTGCTGCTCTTTCCACTCATCCCCACCTCACCCACCCTTGGGGGACCTCCCCGTCACTGCATGTGGTGTCCACTTCAGGCCATTGGATCTGACCCCTGCTTGCTTTCCCATGTGTGACTTGAAAGCCCCTCCTGGGTCCTGGAAAAGGGTGGTCCCAGGAGAGGGGAATGGGAGAGCCCACATGAGAGCAGAGGAACCCCAACTTTCCTCTAGACAGTCACTTCCCAGGACTGCCAAACAATGCACACAAACCAGGTAGCTTCTCGCACAGTTCTGGAGCCCAGGAGTTCCAAGTCCAGGTGCCTGCTGAGCTGAGCTCCCCGCCTCTGGGCAGAACCCTTCCCTGCCTCCTCATAGTTTCTGGTGATGGCCGACAGCCCTGGTGTTCCTTAGCATGCTGGCACACCTCAACCTCTGCCTCTGCTGCCACAGCCTCTTTCTGTGTGTCTCTCTCTTCCTCTTTTTATAAGGACACCGGTCCTGTTGGGTTAGCCCCTTGTTGATGGCTGCATCTTGATTATTTCCAAATAAGCATACATTCACAGGTACTGGGGGTCAGGCCTATAATATATCTTTTGTAGGGGACAATTCAACATGGCCTTCCTTCCACTCAGCGCTACCTATGCAAAAACTTTCCTCTTAGGAAAACAAGAGAAAGTTCTCCTGGCCTGAGTTCTTTTGCCAGCTCTCACAATAGCTCTGCTTGCTGTAGACATAGGAAAGAAGATGACTGTGCAAACCAAGGGTGAATCATGACTTGGAACGTGAACTCATGTTTCATGTGCCCTTGGTTCTAGCCCTTGTTCTCAGTGAGAAGCAACTTTACTTGTCCCCTTATTCCCTCACTGCCTCTGAATCTATCTCCCTTGCCCAGGGGACTTGGCAATGTCAAGGGACATTTTCCTCCCTCCCAACCAGAGAGGAGGTGCAACTGGCATCTAGTGAGTGGAGACCAAGGAAGCTGCTAAACTTATACAGTGCACAGGACACCCACCCTCCAACAGAGGATGATCCGGTCTGAAATATCAGTAGCCCTGAGGTTGAGAAATCCTGCTCCATGCTAAATAGATATACAATGTTAGGAGCTATGGGGAACAGCATCCCTCTGTCCCCAACCCTAAGATTCCTGACTCGGTTATTCCAGAGAGCAAAGAAACCAGTAATAAGGTTTAGAACCTGCCCTTGATGGATCTGTTATGGCTGGAGTGTGTCTGACTCCTAGAGTTGGATACAACATGTTTATTAGCGCAGTGCCCCGGGGTGGGGGTAAGGGGTGGACCACCACCTGTGAACCCGGGACTTCCCCTCCTGGTGGGATGTTAGGTCCACATTAGGACCTAGTCCATCAGAAGGTCCCTTTCCCAAGCAGGGTACTACGTCTGCTTTTCTTCCTACAGATGGTGCCAACTATAAACTTTCAGTCTCTGATCCTAGATGTTTTGATGGAAAGATCCTTGTCCCCATCCACCCTTGGTCAAATCCCATTCCTCTCCCCAGACTCCGGGGGCCCTGAAAGTAGCCTTGCCCTTCCCTGTGTCTGGTGAGAAAGCAGCCCCTGGGCCTGTCTTGAGCAGGTTCTTTGGTGGACTACGTCTGGACATCAAGAGGAAGCTGCCTTGGTTCCCAAGTGACTTCTACGACGGCTTCCACATCCAGTCTATCTCTGCCATCCTATTCATCTACCTCGGCTGTATCACCAACGCCATCACCTTCGGTGGCCTTCTAGGGGATGCCACCGACAACTACCAGGTGTGTGGGAGCTGGGGCAGTGAGTGGGAACCTCAGTGAAATCTGCCGCCACCTGGTGGCAGTAGGGTGCTGCATCCATCATCCCAACACCAAGGTTTTCATCCACCATCCAGGTTCAGACCATCGCTTTTTGTAATCCTTTACCCTTAGAAAACATTTTTTTAAAGAAGAGGAAGAGAGAAAGAAAAAGATAACCTGACGATATGAAAGGATGTAAGATGGGTGTTAACCTAGTGGTTAAGGCATCCGCATCCCACATTGGAGTACCTGCTTTGATTCTTGGCTCTGGCATCTATCTCCAGCTTGCCAACAGTGCAGATCTGGGAGGCAGCAGGCGATGGCTCAAGTAACTGGGTTCCTGAGACCCTGTGGGAAACCTGGATTGCGATCCCAGTTCCCAGCCTTCGCAGACATTCAGGGGAGTAAACCAGCAGTGGAAACTCTCTCACTCCCTCTTTCCCTCTCTCTGTGCCTCTCAAATAACAAAGACCCAAAGCTATATTGCACAACAACAAACCGAATTTAAGGATACTGTAAATAAGACTTCTGGGATGAGTCGTCTACTTTGGTACTTGGCACTTTCCCATTGATAAGCAGAAAACTCAGAGCACCAAGGAGAAGATGCATTTTTGCAGATAACTTGAGATGACTGCCTATTGCAGCCTACACCTCTCTCCTGACATTCAAGTCCAATGTCCCACTGCTTCGTGGGTATGTGCACACTGCTGCACCTTGGGATCTCCCACTTCATACAGCTCCTCTGCATCCATTACCTTCCTTCCTGACCTGTTGTTCCTGGGCCTTGCCCAGCACAGCAAGTAACACCACCGTTCCCCCAGCTATCCACACCAGAAACTAGCATCATTCTGAACTCACAAACCCCAGCTTCCCCACATGGCCCTCACGACGTGGCCCTGCTTACCTCTCAGGCCTCATCTCCCTGCATCTCCTTCTGGGCATTCCTGCCCTCCTCACCCATTCTGTTTTCTGTGTCTTGTCAGTCATGATAGTCCTGATCATCTTTCAGTTCTCCAAGGACAAGCTGCCTTGCAACTCAAGCCTGTGTGTATATTTACAGACCCTCCTCCTGGGGTACTGTCTCATCATGCCACTTAACCCTGTTCTCTTGTCAACCTCCTGCTCATGTTTTGGGTCTCAGCTTCCACGTATGTACTTTTTTTTTTTTGACACGCAGAGTTAGACAGTGAGAGAGAGAGAGAGAAAGGTCTTCCTTCCATTGGTTCAACCCCAAAATGGCCACTACGGCTGGCGCGCTGCACCAATCCGAAGCCAGGAGCCAGGTGCATCTCCTGGTCTCCCATGGGGTGCAGGGCCCAAGCACTTGGGCCATCATCCACTGCCTTCCTGGGCTACAGCAGAGAGCTGGACTGGAAGAGGAGCAACCTGGACAGAACTGGCGCCCCAACCGGGACTAGAACCCGGGGTGCCGGTGCTGCAGGTGGAGGATTAGCCTAGTGAGCCGTGGCACCAGCCTCCACATATCTACTTCTAGGGAGGTCTCCCTGACCACCCTTCACCCCTGCTGTGTGGTCCTGCCACAACGGAAGCTTACCAGAGGATCACACTCTGGCAGTGGCTTGCAGCCAGGGCTGATCCTGACTTCAGGAGACATTTGACAATATCTAGAAGCAATTTTGGATGCTGTGACTGGGGAGAGGGTGATACTAGCATCTGATAGCAGAGGCCAGGAATGCGTTCACCATCCTACAAGGCACAGGACAGACCCGCACAACAAAGAATTCTAGAGCCAGAAATGTCAATGGTGCCCAAGTGGGAAACCCTGCAGAATGGACACCTCCTGCTTACTTATTTATGTCTCCCACTAGATGGTGCACAAAATCTAGCACAAGGCCTGGCACATAGCAGGCCCCTAAAGGATTTTGAATGAAGGAATCATTCATGTCTGCATAGTCTGTTATCCGAGAGTAGAATGACCACAGTGGCAAGCACGCCAGTTTTTTCCAGGGTGTCAAAAGGAAGTCACGCAGGAATTGGAGAGGGTGACCCTGGCCATGGTTGCAAGTTGTGGAACAGGAGGTGGGGAGCAGGATTTGGGGAGGGGAGGGCCCAGAACAATGGAGGAGCACTGGCCAGGGCCCTTGGAAAGAGAGGTGGGTTGCAGCCTGTGTGGCTGTGTGGGGAGGTGCCTCCTGCCTCTGCTGAGCCTTCCTCTCCTCGTGCCCTCAGGGAGTGATGGAGAGCTTCCTGGGCACTGCCATGGCGGGCTCTTTGTTCTGCCTCTTCTCGGGGCAGCCTCTCATCATCCTCAGCAGCACGGGGCCCATCCTCATCTTCGAGAAGCTCCTCTTCGATTTCAGCAAGTAGGTGCCCCGGGCTGGCCCCCAGGGCCTGCTCTTGCACTCAGGGAAGGGCAGGGGAACAGGCCCAGAGGGAAGGCAGGTGTGAGGGGTGCCGAAACCATCTTCAGCATGGGGAGCCCTGCCAGGTGGTGCCTCCTGACTCCTGCCAGCTGCCAGCCTCAGGCCATCTCAGTGCGTACCAGCACAGCCCGCAGGGCCAGAGGACAGAATTCACACTAGTGTGCTCGCAAGCAGTGATGACTTGAAGGTTAGTGCAGGGCATGCAGTGGCTTGGTCTGGAGGTCAGAGGCTACACCGAACCCGGGCAGCTCCTGTGGCCACTCCAGGCTCAGTTGCCTTGTCAGCAATATGACAGTCAGGCTGGACCATTTCTAAGGCCTGCTCCAGTCCTATTATTCTCAAGTCCCCTGTTTTCCACTCATTTGGGTGTCTGTTTCCTGTGTGTGCGCACTGAGATCTTTTCTAGAACTCTCAGAGACCAGACACCCCAGCAATCATCCCTGTTCCCAGCCCTCTTACTGTCCCTAGGAGGGCATCTGTGCCACAGGAGAGGCAGATGAGCTCCATAGGGTGGGTCTGGGAGCTAAGCACATCCAGAAGCCCCAGGCTGGAGGCCTTGCCTTCCCTCTGCCTTCCAGAGGCAACGGCCTGGACTACATGGAGTTCCGCCTCTGGATTGGCCTGCACTCAGCCATCCAGTGCCTTATCCTGGTGGCCACAGATGCCAGCTTCATCATCAAGTATATCACCCGCTTCACGGAGGAGGGCTTCTCCACCCTTATCAGCTTCATCTTTATCTACGATGCCATCAAGAAGATGATCGGTGCCTTCAAGTATTACCCTATCAACATGGACTTCAAGCCTGACTCCATCACCACCTACAAATGCGAGTGCGTCGCCCCTGACACAGGTGACCGGTAACTCCAGAAGTGCCCTGGGCCCCCCTCCACCCACCCACTCTCCCCCACCCACACCATAGATCTCTACTGAAATGCAGGCAAGGGAGCCTGCTCAGCGGGGGAAGGGGGCGGGGATTTGTACCCAAGGATTTACTCTTTCAAAGGAGCAAATGCGGGAGGGAAGCCAAAAGGATAGTAGCTCTAAGAAGTCAAATACCAGTGTCCAGGGTTACAGTCGGGAGGGCACAGGGATCCCTCAGGAGGAGTGAGGTGCTCTGCCTCGTATGGGGCTATGTGGAAGTCACACCTGGCAGGAATGCTGCCCAGGTGTTCCTGCTGCAGGCCTGAGGGAGACCTGGTGGTGCCTAAGTACCTCCCAGCTCCATTGGTGCGTGGTGCAGTGAACTGTCCCAGCATTGTTGCCTGTGTGGCCACAGGCCTTGCAGAATCTTACAGCAGAGGGATGAGCCTCCCTACAAATGGGAATACATCCAGGGTGCAACACCATTTGAGGAATGTTTGGAGAGCTTGGGTTTTTCAGCCCCTTGGGGATATGAGAGGTCCAGGGAGGGATGTGGTGCCCAGGTGGGGGCCAGTTCGCCCTCTGCAACCATCAGTTGCAGAGCAGAAGAGGGATGAGGAACAGAAGCACCAGGGAGTTAGGGAAGAACTTAACAATGGTGGGGTCGCCACACGGGAGGCCTCCGCCCCTCAGTTGGGAGGGAGTTCCTTGAACACTCTCTAGGGATCCATGTTCTGAGGGTGCTGCAATAAGGATCCTTGTGCTGAGTGGGAGGCTCCATCAGTCAGCTAGTCAACCTGATAATAGTCAAATTCCTGTGAAGTTATTTCAGGAAACAATCCAATAAAACTGTCACTGATAAAGCCAACACATCCCACAGAGTCTGAACAGCTGGCCTCCCTGAGAGCCATCAGTGGGCTGTGCCTGGAGTGCCTGGGCGTCAAGCCCCATCCACACATCTCCAGGCTCCACCACTCAGGAGTCGCAGAGAGCAAACTGAGGTCCAGAGACCCCTCCAGGCTCACCCCAAACTCAGTTTCACTAGCTGGAAGAAAAAGTGGCCCTGCTGGCCCTGCTAATCTCATGGGACTTTTGTGAGGTTTTCAGATATGTAAGCAGATTGGGATGGAGAAAATAAGTAGATATTGGGTTATTCAGCCCCTTCATATATTACTGTGGATAAAAAATTAATCATAAGTCCATCAAAAATACTTGCTGCACAATATCATGTGCCCTACTTACATTCGGTTCTAGGGAAGATAGATGTCCTGCCTTCAAGGAGTTTAGTTTTGATTCTCCCTCTGTCACTGAACTGAGTTGGTAAGAAAGTTTAGACTTAGTTTTTCTTCTTTCATTTTTCTCCATTGTTAATTTTGAGTTATGCCGTTAAAGTCAATGCCAGGGAAAGCTCCCCTTCGTCCTGCACTCAGGCGTGCCTCTTGCCCAGAGTACTTCCGAGATCCTACCTGCAGGCCGAGTCCCGCCTCTCCCGCCAACACCTCCAGGGCTCTCACCTGTGCTGCTTTCGCCTTCCAGCCCGGATTCATGGGACTGAGCCGAAACTTCCCATAAACGTGACTTTCAGAAGTCCATGTCTTTGATCTCTTTTAGAAACAGTCCAAATTCTGGGGGACTTGAGGAACATAATGAAGCCCCCATGTCTAAAACCCTTCCCTCTGGCCTTGCCCAAGTACCTGATGTCCTGGTCCCAGCTCCTTTACTCTCGGTGAAGAAACTGGAGATCTGATCTTCCTGGAGCTCCTAGCTAACAACAGCTCGGGATCACCGATTAACAGTTCACCAGAGCAGTGGTTCTCGGACTTGAAAGTGTACACAAGCCTGATGGTACCTCATGCTTTTGGGTCATGGTTCTCCAAGTGTGGTCCCTGGACCAGCAGCATCAGCTCTGTCAGGGCAGTTGTTAGAAATGCTCATTCTCGGGGCCACTGCACGCCTGCTCTGCAGAACCTCGGGGCGGGGTTCAGCCTTCCGTTGATTAGCAAGCCTTTCAGGTGCGCTGCTGAACTACTGAGTAGCAGTCCCAGGCCATTGTTACCTACTAACCCCAGGAAGGTGAGAGTGTCAGTTTCTTCACAGAAAGTCCAGGAACTGAAGTCAGGACAAGTCAGACTTGATTAGGAGAATATGGAAAGGAAAGTTCTAGGCTTCTGGGAGCCTAGGGAGAGAGAACTAACTTCCCAGCCCATGGGTCACCTGCTTACTCGTCATTGCATAGCGCTAGTTTCATGGCAAATGCAGCCTGACGCTGTCAGTCTTAGTCACTCCTCATCAGAAAAGCTCATTTGGGGGAACTCTCTTTCTATTTCATTTTGTTTCCATTGTAACTGATTTGTATTCTGTTTATGGATGCTGCACACACTGATTTGGCTGCTTCCAATCCCAAGTGAGTACCACTTTGTAAACACTAGAATTTTAAAATATTTGATATTTGGAGACTTTCTGGAATTTACCATGTTATATTTCTGCCCGCTTTATCTCAAGTGGCTTTCAGATAAAACTCTACAGAGTTCTCAGTATAAAAGCATTGATAAGCCTAAGCAGAAGACATCAAAGGAATATCTGGCCTGAAAACCCTAGGTAGTGGAAAACTGCCTGAGCTCCCTAGACCCAAACTTCAGCATTTAAGTGGGTGGCCCTGTGTCAGCCTGGTTGCTGGCTTCCGTCAGTCCTGTTATGGGTGTCACACACTCTTGGTCAGTAAGAAAAGACAAACAGTGTCCCAGATTTCTAATACGTAAAACTTTCTTCTGAACCTCCCAGCAAGCCTGTGGGTCTGTGAATCTGGGATATTCTGCCCTGGTCCAGACCAAAGCCCTCGGCCACCAGCCTCAGCTGCCCCAGATGTGGGCACCTATAATCACATCCAGCCCGGTGGGCAGCTTATGGGCAGCCAGGAGAGGCCTGGAGACAAACCTCTTCTCTCTGGGTTTCTAACCAGCAGCAGGCAGCCAGCAGGAGCCAAGGGGGCCTCCGCGCACTTCAGACTGAACCGCCAGTGGGCTGGCTGAGGGGCCTCCTCCCCTCTCCCCAGACCTGCTGCAGAGGGACTGCTCAGCGCGCCTTCCCTGGGAGAAGGAGGGGGAAGAGCACCTGGCCTTCACCTCGGCCTGTGCAGTTTGGGAGGAGGAAAGAGCACCCTCCAAAGCCTGCCTGTCCACTAGGTAAACGAGCGGCAGCACCCACTGGGGAGCCTGGCCCTGTGTGTGCTGAGCGCTCCCCAGGCGGAGGAGCAAGGGAGGCAGGACTCCATGGAAGGGAGACGAGGGGAAGCAGTGCCTCTCCCACAGTCTCCTGGCCCCTGAAGGGACGCCCCCATCTGTTCTACATCCAGTTAGGGAGGGGAGTGCCTGGCAAGGGAAACCGAGTGGACAGCTGGAGCTGGACCTGTGCTTTCCTGGTTCCACATAGGTCCTGGGCCTGGGTCTCCTTTTCCCGAGTTTGCATTTCAGGGGCAGATCGTAGAAGATAGTGTGAAAGCCCGTAAATCCTTACGGGCCCAGCTGACCAGAGCAAAGCACTTCGGAGCGGACAGGAGAGAAGGGAGGCATCTGTGGAGGGTCCTGGGGCTGGGAGCTTCACAGGCTCTGGGCCAGCCTGCCTGGGCCGGGACCACGACTCCAAGCAAGGGCTGTGTGATGCTGGGCAATGGGCAAATTACTTAACCTCTCTGGGCCTCAGTTCCCTCATCTGTAAAATAGGGATACTTCATGGAGATTTGGCAACTTACATGAATATGTGTGAAGGCTTGGCACTGTGTACAGCACAGAGTGAGTTCTTTGAAAATGGTTTCTAAGTCTACCAACACAGAAATAAGGCCAATGGCCATTAGGGGTTCACACAGCATGTTATTCACCAACTTGTCTTACCACCAGATTCCTTATTTCCATTTTTGAAAGCAGCTGCTCATCATCAGGGGTGAGCTATCCTATGCTGGCCCAGCTGGGCTGCCCCGGCTATGGCCTGGCTTCTGTCCCACCAAGACTTCCCTCACCAAGGCAAAGTGAGGAGGGTGACGGGGCTGTGGTGCGGTGAGCTGCCCTCACCATGGAAGCCAATCCCTGGCTCTCAGGGACTGGAGGGAGGCAGGGGAGAGTGGGGCCCCCCGTAGGGTTGCAGGCTGCAGCCCAGCAGCTGCTGACCCTACCCATGTCATGTGCTCATCTGCAGTGAATACAACCGCGTTCAATGCCTCAGCCCCGCTGGCACCAAACACCAACACTTCTCTGGTAAGTCCCTTCCTCTCGGGTCAGACATGCAAGTGCTGTTGTTTTCTGAAGGGGCTGGGAAACTGACACCAACTGTGGCGACGCCAGGCACATAGCAGGTCACCTGCAGAGCTTTGTAAGTGCACTCTAAACATCCCATTAAACAGGGGCCTCATTCTATTGAAACCATGTGTGCACATATGATACAAACTCCGCAATGAAGGGGAGATAGAGGTGAGGAATGGTGGAAGGGGTTGCGTAAGCAAAGCTGCACACAGTTTCCTGTTCACTGTTCTACCTTCTTTCCTTCCCTTTCTACCCAGAGCCCTTACTTCCCACACAGTAATGACGCTCTCCAGCCCCAGGGAGTCTGTTAGCCCCACCATCACCACCACAATGAACCTGATCTCTACTTTGCCCTCTGTAGCCCTGGGATCCCCCGGGTCTGGCTGGCTTTTCCCAATAATGATGAGCAGTAGCCTGTGGAGCCAGCACACCAGACTAAGTGGTTATCACAGTGGGAGGTTCAAATCCAAGTGAAGGGCGGAGCCTGGAATGCCTCAGCAGAGATGTGTGTCTCTTAGTGTCCCCGAGGTTGCTTCTTAAGTTAAATCCACCCAGTTAGTTGGTCTGCCTACACACATCCCAGTTGTCAATTTGACCTAAGATCCAAGGGGGAAAATGGAATCTCTTGGTGCCCATTTCTGAGTATCTATTATGGGCAAAGTGCTGTGTACACGGAAGACTAAAAATGCTACAGATCCAGGGTGGTCCCGGTCCTGAAACTTGCCCTTCATACGCTTGTAGAGATGGACCTTATTTTGGATGCCTGGATTTTAGGACCTGGGACACCAAGGGGGGAAGTGGCTGAATAACCCAATAAGAGGTTGACAAGGGTGTTACAAAGGGGAAGGAGGGAGAGAATTAACAGGAGACTCCAGAACGGAGGTGATCACAGGACCTGTGAGTGATCAAACAAGGCAGGAGCCTGCTGCACTTTTCCACCTTGCTAGCAAAGCACTGTGTTCTAGCACACAGCAAGGAACCTATGTGCATGCCTAACCTTCCTCAGAGCCCTCTGCCTGTCATTCCTTGAACCAGCTTGTCCCTAGGGACATTACTGTCTTGCTGAAGGCACCGTGGACAGAAAGGCTGGGCCCCCTTAGAGGCTAGGAGGGTATAACGGGTCACCTGGGGACTGCAGGCGGGAGGACACAGCTGGCCTGACAGGAGGACCCTGACCCTTTCTCTCCTGTGCTTGGTCTCCAAGTACAACCCCCTTAACCTCACAGCGCTGGACTGGTCCCTGCTGAGCAAGAAGGAGTGTCTGAGCTATGGTGGGCGCCTACTTGGGAATTCCTGCCAGTTCATCCCAGACCTGGCACTCATGTCCTTCATTCTGTTCTTTGGGACATATTCCATGACACTAACCTTGAAGAAGTTCAAGTTCAGCCGCTATTTCCCTACCAAGGTAAGTGCACCCTGCCAGTAGGTGGGACCTACAGTCAGATGTTGTTATAAAAAGCCCCTGCTGAGTCTCCCCAGGTGGTTCTGTCCATGGACAGGATGGACACCATGGGAGCACCAGACCATAGAGTTCTTCAAGCTAAGGGCATAGACTTTGCAGTCAGAGAGAACTGTGTCCCCTTGTCAAATCCCCTTGATGATGTTTAACATCATCAGACTGCTCTCTAGTCTTTCTGTGTCGTTTTTTTTTTAAAAAAGATTTATTTTATTTACTTGAAAGAGTTACAGAGAGAGGTAGAGACAGAGAGAGAGGTCTTCCATCCGCTGGTTCACTCCCCAGGTGGCCGCAACAGCCTGAGCTGTGCCAATCCGAAGCCAGGATCCAGGAGCTTCTTCTGGGTCTCCCAAGCACTTGAGCCATCTTCTACTGCTTTCCCAGGCCATAGCAGAGAGCTGGATCAGAAGAGCAGCCAGGTCTCGAACCAGTGCCCATATGGGATGCCGGCACTGCAGACTGGTGCTTTAACCCACTGCATCACAGTACCACCAAAATACAAAGGTCCATAAGAAACTACTATGAACAACTATATGCTAACAAATTAGAAAACCTTGAACAAATGAATAAATTCCTGGATACATATAACCTTAAATAAATTCCTAAATATATAAAGGCTTCTTAAATAATAGGAATAATCAAATCTGATATGAATAGTTGATTTTTCCTCAGTAGTTTGTAAAGACCAAGTAAAAGGCTCTTTTTTTAAAGATTTATTTATTTGAAAGGCAGTTATGGAGAGAGAGAGACAGATAGACAGACTGATCTTTCTCTGCTGGTTCATCCTGCAATGGCCAGGGTTGAGCCAATCCGAAGCCAGGAACCAGGAGCTTCTTCCGGGTCTCCCCCATGAGTGCAGGAGCCCAAGATTTGGGCCATCTTCCACTGCTTTCCCAGGCACATTAGCAGATTTAGCACATTTCACTCTGCAGGATGGGAAGTGGAGCAGCTAGGACTGGAACTGGCACCCATATGGGATGCCCTTGGCACAGCAAGCAGTGGCTTTATCCACTATACCACTGTGCTGGCCCCAGTAAAAGGCTCTTAGGAGGGCTTGCAGTCTGGATATTTAACTGAGCAAAATGTAGTGAGCCAGCAACAACAATGTATCCTCAAAACATGTGCCCTCTCCATCCCATTTTCAACCAGATCCTATCCCTGGGTCTCCTCCTATATAAAAATCCTAGAATAATGTATGTCTGTTCCCTGTAGGATGAAAAATAACACATGGCATGAAATTATTGTGCCACCAACATTTTTCCCCTTCAAATTGCTTACACATTGTTTTGTTGCCTCCTGGGATTTAATGGTGCAGAAAAGAATGAGGCCACACTATTTCACACCCACCAGGTTGGTAAACATAGAAAAGTTTTGAATATCAGATGTTGTGGATGAAAAATGGTGGGAGGAGTTTAGAAAGCAATTGGCACCCTCTGATAAGGGCCAGCACTGTAGCTAAGTAGGTTAAGCCTCCACCTGCAGCACTGGCATCCCATATGGGCACCATTTGAGTCCTGGCTACTCCCCTTCCCATTCAGTTCCCTGCTAATGTGCCTAGGAAAGCAGTGGAGGATGGTGCAAGTCTTGGGCCCCTGCATCCACGTCGGAGACACAGAAGAAGCTTCTGGGTCCTGTCTTGGGATCGGCCCAACTGCGGCCATTGCGGAGTGAACCAGTAGATGGAAGACCTCTCTGTCTCTGCCTCTGTAACTCTCTCTCTCTCTCTCTCTCTTTTTTTTTTTTTGACAGGCAGAGTGGACAGTGAGAGAGAGAGAGAGAGACAGAAAGAAAGGTCTTCCTTTTGCCATTGGTTCACCCTCCAATAGCCGCCACGGCTGACGCGCTGCGACCGGCGCACCGTGCTGATCCGAAGGCAGGAGCCAGGTGCTTCTCCTGGTCTCCCATGGGGTGCAGGGCCCAAGCACTTGGGCCATCCTCCACTGCCTTCCCAGGCCACAGCAGAGAGCTGGCCTGGAAGAGGGGCAACTGGGACAGAATCCGGCACCCCGACCGGGACTAGAACCCGGTGTGCCAGCGCCACTAGGTGGAGGATTAGCCTATTGAACCGCGGCGCCAGCCAAACTCTCAAGTGAATAAATAAATCTTTAAAAATTAAAAAAAAGACCCTCAAATTTATGTCCAAGTGTGCACCCCAGAGGCTTCTCACACACGTAGAAGAATGACATGGAAACATTGATTCTAAGAGGGGAAAAAATGAAAATAAATTTATCTGTTAACAAAGAAATGAAGAAGCAAATGGAAAATAACCACACAAACATCAAGCGGCTTTCACTCTGCAGGGACAGTGGCTATGCCCATCCACAAGGAAAAGCATCACAAACACAATGTTGAGCAAACAAAGTTGCAGGAGCTTACACACTGCCACTTAGCTAACTTAAAAACATGCAAGGCAGTGCCATGTTGTTGTTGAGGGGTGTATGCATATTTAGTAAATGTGAGAATAACCTCCAAATTCAGACCAGAGAGCAGAACAGGGGTGCCACTGGCTAGTTGAAAAGGCATTAGGCCGGTGCCATGGCTCAACAGGCTAATTCTCCACCTGTTGCGCCTGCACACCAGGTTCTAGTCCTGGTTGGGGCGCCGGATTCTGTCCCGGTTGCCCCTCTTCCAGGCCAGCTCTCTGCTATGGCCCGGGAGTGCAGTGGAGGATGGCCCAAGTGCTTGGGCCCTGCACCCCATGGGAGACCAGGAGAAGCACCTGGCTCCTATCTTTGGATCAGCGCGGTGCACCGGCTGCAGCGCGCCAGCCGTGCCAGCCATTGGAGGGTGAACCAACAGCAAAGGAAGACCTTTCTCTCTCTCTCTCTCTCTCTCTCTCTCTCTCACTGTCCACTCTGCCTGTCCAAAAAAAAAAAAAAAAAAAAAAAAAAAAAAAAGAAAAGAAAAGGCATTAACTGAATGGATGAATCCTTCTTTCTGAAGGTGGGAAGGAGCTCACAGCTGTTTCCTACATCTGTTTTTCTATTAATCGCGACTATGAAATTGCCTGTATTTCACCATGTTAACTTACAAAAACAGTGGATACAAATGGTTTAACTTAATAACTTTTTCTTCTGGATGCTAAGAATAATATAGAAAAATGTAGGCCTAGCAAACTACTTTTGTGATCAGTATCTAAATGATTATAACATTATAACTCTTAGAATCAACTTATGGATAAAACACAAAACAGAATGGGAAATGAGTGTTCTCAGCTTTGACAATGTGAAGATCAAAGTGAAGGTGACTTAGAATGATGGGGGCAGGGAGTAGGAAGAAGCCAGGCAGGGACCCTTACCTCAAGTGATACAGAACGAGGGGTACTGGCAAATGTTTAATTATATAACTGGAAGTATAAAGCAAGCCCGTCACCAGAGCTTAACAATAACTATCAGATGGCCCAAGTCCTTGGGCCCTTGCCACCCACATGGGAAACCCAGATGAAGCTCCTGGCTCCTGACTTTGGACTGGTCCAGCCCTGGCCGTTGCAGCCATTTGGGGAGTGAACCAGTGGATGGAAGACCAACCTTCCTCCCCCCACCCCGTCTCTCCCTCTCTCTCTGTAACTCTGCCTTTAAAAAAAAAAAAAGACTATCAGAGCTTTGGGCAGGGGGTTCACATAAATGAATCTAAATCCTTATCAACAAATAATGCCTTTCATTAGCAAATCAAAATGGACAACTTTCCACATATAAGTTACATGGAGGAAACCTGCAAATCAAGCAGACACCAGTAGAATAACCTGAAAGCAGAGCTGGAGTGAGGAAATGAAGTAGGGATTTTGTCTTTTTGCTCTAAGTATTCTGTGAGTTTTTAGTCAATTACATTCTAACAGCTTTAAAGGAGAGATGAGGGTGTAGGCATTGCAGCCAGTGGGCTGGTAGCTGCTCCTGCCCTTGAATTGAAATATCCCTGATAAGATTTAAGGAAGTGGCAAGGTAGACATTGGGGAACCCTCTGCCCTGAGACTCCCAGACAATGAGTTGGTGTGGAGGGGCAGTCAAGGGCAAGGAGGTCCAGTCCAGAACTGGGCCTAGGAAGGGCTTCCTGCAAACAAGCAAGGAGGCTGAGAGTAGCCACTGGCCCCAGTGGGACTGGGGACCTCCCTCCCAGTCTGGGGGTGGGGGGCAACAACCTGTCCCTTTAGGAGGTAGAATTTCCTACAGAGTTCAACCCTGGCCCTCCTCACACCTGCTGGGTGACCCGGATCAGTCTCTCAAACCTGAACTGCCTTCAGCAAGGGCTGCTGTGGCCACAGGAGTCAGAACAGCTCCCGCTCTGACTACCGTATACCAAGTCCTGTGAATGTGCCACAGCTCACTTAGACCCCTGAGCTGGGTGCTGCTGTCATCTCCATCTCACTGAGGAAGAAACTGAGGCTTGGGGAGAGGATGTGCTCCCCCAAGGTCACACAGCCAGCAAAGGGCAGACGCAGGCTTTGCACCTAGGCCTTCTGACTTCAGAACCCAGACTTCAGCGGGTTCTTCTCGGCGCTGCCAGAGGCCCCGGTCTGTCTGGAGCTGGCTGGGAGGCTCACTCACTTGCTTCTCTCACCTCTGCAGGTCCGGGCCCTGGTGGCTGACTTTTCCATTGTTTTCTCCATCCTGCTGTTCTGTGGAATTGATGCCTGTTTTGGCCTGGAAACTCCCAAGCTGCACGTGCCCAGTGTCATCAAGGTTAGCCTCTCCCCTAGCTCAGGGCGCTTGCTCTGCCCTCCGGGCAGCTGCAGAGCCTCTCCCCTCCGTGCTGAGATAACTTCCTTCTTCTCAGCCAGCAGACTTCCTTGCTCCTCTGTGTGTGCTCCACCCCTTCCTGCACAGTCTCCTGGGGCTGGTCCTTTAAAGTGTCAGATGGGGACATGTTCACCAGGAAACATTTGTGTGGCCGCCCTCCAGCCCAGCTAAAGCCTCTGCATTTCTATTTGAGGGCTTCCAATTCCATGGCCTCTGGCTGTCTAGAAGCTGGGCCAACTACAGGATCTGTTGAAAATGATGCCTGGAGACACTGATTGTCTAAGTGAGGTCCCCAGAGCAGTACCTTACCATCACCTGCGAATGCAGATTCCCAGACCTGTGTTATGAGAAGAACAGGCTGGAGCCCAGCGACCTGCATCTCAGCAAGCCCTCCAGGAGATTGTGGGCATGCCCAAGGTTGAGAATCACCACTTCACAAGTGCCCTGTCAGTCTGGAGCCGATGCCCTTGCTGGCAGCTGAGCTTCCGCCCTGCTCCCTCCCAAGGGCACCATGTAACCAGGGTAGGGAGGGAGCCCGGGTCCCAGAACTTCCCCACCCTGCCTGTGCACTCTTGGCCTTAACAAGAGGGTTCCCCTAGGTAGCTCATCGTGTTAGCGTGGAAATTACATCCCACTTTCTCTTCAATAAGCCTAACTTCTGCACAGATAGTCCCTATTCTTAGCACACAGGTCTGAACTGAGGTTTGGTGTTAGAGACAATTCCGTAATGCTCCCCAGACAGGTGACTTGGAAGAGGAGCAGGTGTCAGGCACTTCTTGCCCGTCAGGCCTCGTTTCTGCTTCCTGTTACTTTGCATGAATGACCGCACGCTGTGCCAGCGTCCCTCTGATCCGCTCCTACCCTGTTTGTGTCTACATGCCTTGCCACCTCTGTCTGCCTCCATGCTCTCTAAAGCTGCAGGTGCCTAATGTCTAAGGGAAAAGATTGCTTGAAAAGTACCCCAGGTCGGGACGGTGAGAAGGGGGGAGAGTGGGCCGCCAGCGGGTACTCTGGGACAAGGGAAAAAGCGCCCTCTCCCTCTGCTCCCACTCAGCCCACACGGCCTGACCGAGGCTGGTTCGTGGCTCCCTTTGGGAAGAACCCGTGGTGGGTGTACCCGGCGAGCATCCTGCCTGCCCTGCTGGTGACCATCCTGATCTTCATGGACCAGCAGATCACAGCGGTCATCGTCAACCGGAAGGAGAACAAGCTGAAGGTAGGGCTGCTGGGAGCAGTCAGGAGGATGGCAAGAGGGGGCGTGGTGCCTGCAACAGCCTGCTGGGCGAGCCCTGGAGCTACCCCCCTGTGTTGGGAGTAGGGTGGGGGCACGTGACTTCTAGACAGCAGAAGTCTCACAGGGCAGGGGTGACTTGCTGTGAGGACCAGGGACACTGGGATAGCAGAGGCTCCTCCTGATGGTGAACCTGGGGGTCTGAGTAAATTCTAACTGGGGGCTCAGCCTGGAACCCTGAGGCCCAGATGTCCTTAGCCTCCCTCCTTCCTGCACCTGTGACCAAGAAGACTCAGGCCCCCCTTCCCTACCCGTCTGCATGACTCCGGCCAGGCCCAGGACTGCCCCAGCCGGGGCTCCTCATTCCAGAACTGCAGAGGGGCTGAGCCCCTAGGTGGGCGTCCTTCTCCCCAGGGACCCAAGCCCAGGCCCCTCTGAGCCTGGGCATTCCTCTCACCTGTGTCCTTTACTGGGCTCGCCCTTGTAGACCAGGAGAGGACTGGGGAAGCCACCTCGGGCCCAGGGCAGCCCCTCCAACACCTCTCCCTGCCCCTGCCCCTGCCCCTGCCCCGCCCCTGCCCCTGCCCCTGCAGAAGGCTGCTGGCTATCACCTGGACCTGTTCTGGGTGGGCGTCCTCATGGCCCTGTGCTCCTTCACCGGGCTGCCCTGGTACGTGGCTGCCACCGTCATCTCCATCGCCCACATCGACAGCCTCAAGATGGAGACGGAGACCAGCGCCCCTGGGGAGCAGCCTCAGTTCCTGGGGGTCAGGTAGGGGGCAGCAGGGCCCAGATCACCTGAATGGGAGTGGCTGGCTTGGGGTGGGGGTGGGGTGAGCTTGCTTTTCATCAAGGAATGTTGGCAAGAGCCCAGGAACTACAAGTATAAGGAAGGGAGAGGAGAGAGATGAACATGTAGTTTTAAGAGACACTTTCTTCTTGGTCATCTAAAGGAGTACACGCTCCACACCCGCACCCAGGCACATGCAGGCAGGCCAGGGGCTCTCGCCACATGGGTCTCTGTAGATGCCACAGGACCTCTTCCTGCCCTGCCTTTGTCTCCTCCTCAAGAGCGCCCAGGGCCCTGCTCCTGCCATGCCCCAAGCCCACCTGTACTTGCAGTCCCAACTCTCCATCGCCCCCTCCCTGGGCTGTAGCCCTGGCCTGTCACTCTGTCCCTTCCCCTGCCCCTCCTCTCAGGTCTCGAGGAAGGTTCCTGAACTGTTTGTGGTGGAAAAGCACATGTTGTACCCCTTAGGGCCCAGGAGAGCCTGTGTTAGACCCTGGCCTTCTCCTAGGGGTCGTGCTGGGAGCGTCTCTCACTGCCTTGGATGCTTGGCCCAGCTGGCCCCCAGGGAGGCTTCTCTACTCATGACTGGCCTCAGCCGTATCCCCTCCTGGACCCCTGAGTCCTCTGCTTCCAAGCCCAGACTCCACCCTGGCTGGGACTGGGCCTGGGCACTCAGGGAAACCTGCCTTCCCTCCAGCCCCTTACACCTGCTGTGCTGGCAAACAGGCCACCTTCTCTGGCATCCCTGTTTGCCATGCCTTGCACCAGTAAGGGTGTATAACTCTTCATATCACATTTCATCTTCTCAAGACCCTCCCCAGGGACACGCCACTGTCACCTCCATTCTGCTCAGGCCCAGGATGCCTGGGGCCACACCTGATACCCAGAGGTAGTCAGGGGCAGAGCTGGGATTCAGCCCAAGTCCATGTGGCTCAAGCACCCCAGCAGTTAAGCCACTGCCCAGGACACCTCCCCGAGGCCCCAACTAGGTGCCCTCACTTCAGCCAGGGGCTCTCTGTCTTCCCATGGTGGTTCCACTGGGCCTCAGGCAACAAGGCCATGGCCTTGGACAGTCTTCAGGGCCCACAGGGGGCAGGAGGATGGGTAGTGGTCCCAAAGCATCTTCCCGGACACCCTGACTTTTGCTCTTCTCCAGGGAACAGAGAGTGACCGGTATCATTGTATTCATCCTGACGGGCATCTCCGTCTTCCTGGCTCCCATCCTGAAGGTGAGGCTCTGCACCCCACTCAGGGGCTCCCTGCCTGAGAAAGCATGGAGCTGCGGCCTGAGAGCCAGGGAGGGGATGGGATCCCCCACAAGCCCTGGGAATCTCTGGCGTACGGGCCTCCCCAAATGCAGGACTTTATTAGGTCACACTGGTGTCTCAACACTGTCATTGTTTTCTGTAACAGTGCACCATTTGTCACTGTCTCCAATCCTCACTGCTCTCCCCCACCCCTCCCAGGGCCCAGGATCCCCTTCTGGAGGACAAAAGTCCTGCCGAGTTCTAGCCCTGCTTGGATCAGCAGCTCCACAGCCAGGCGTGTCCATGTTGTGGGTCTGGGCCTTGCTCAGGCCTCCTTGCTCTCCCGTCTCCTGAAGTTTCAAACTTGCAGGGGGAGTCTTCCCCCACTGTTCTCCAGGCCTGTTGTCTGCTCCTCCATGTCTTGGACACAGAAGGGCCTCTACCCACACAGGTTGAAGCTCCTCTTGTTCATGTCCCTCCAGGCCAGCTGGAAGATACACAATCCAACAGGGTCCATTGGAGACAGGTGCCCCCCGAGTGGTTTCTGGCCAGGAACAGATGTTCCTCCCAGCTTTTTCTGCTGCAGCTGCTCACCCTCAGCACCCACAAGACTTTCCTTCTTGAACTAAGCTTGCCCAAAATTACCCTAAACTTCTGCAGATGTTTTCCCTCTGAATAGCTCAGGACAGCTCATTCAGAGGTGGCCTTGTGTAAAACAGAGGCTAAGGAACCATGACGCTAATTGATTTATTTGCAATGGTAAATATTTCTGGCTTGAGAATCAGGTGCTGGGCAAACCTGAGCAGTAGGTTTGAGGTTGGCCATTCTTTAACAGATGTTTGCATCCTGCAGGAAACAGACTGCACACAGGTGGGCAGGCACCTTATTTTTTGAAGTGTATTTTAAGTGGCCAAAGAATCTTTATTTCTGTGGAAAGAGGATTCCAAAAAACCATTGTGTATGTCAGTCCTGATAACTATTTAACAGGCAATGATTTGTCCATTAATATGCCTGTCAAATTTGGGGCCAGCATTGTGGTACAATGGGTTAAGCCTCTGCTTGTTTTTTTTTTTTGTTTTTTTTTTTTTTTAATCCGATGGCAGGAGCCAGGTACTTCTCCTGGTCTCCCATGGGGTGCAGGGCCCAAGCACTTGGGTCATCCTCCACTGTACTCCCTGGCCACAGCAGAGAGCTGGCCTGGAAGAGGTGCACCGGGACAGAATCCGGCGCCCCGACCGGGACTCGAACCCGGTGTGCCGGCGCCGCAAGGCGGAAGATTAGCCTAGTGAGCCACGGCGCCAGCCTAAGCCTCTGCTTGTGACACCAGCATCCCATATCAGAACATTGGTTCAAGTCCTGACTGCTCCACTTCCAATATGGCATTCCTACTAATGCACCGGGAAAAGCAGCGGAAGATGGCCCAAGTGCTCGGCCTTCTGCACCCATGTGGGAGACCCAGGTGGAGTTTCTGTCTCTGGCTGTAGCCTGACCCAGACCTAGCTACTGTGGCCATCTGGGGGGATGAACCTGAAGATGGAAGATTCTCTCTAGATAGATAGATAGATAGATAGATCTAGATATCTAGATATAAATCTAGATATATCTAATGTACATATCTATATATGTGGGGAGCAACTCGGACTAGACTAAGTTACTGAAATTAAGACTTATTCTAGGCCGGCGCCGCGGCTCACTAGGCTAATCCTCCGCCTAGCGGCGCCGGCACACCGGGTTCTAGTCCCGGTCGGGGCGCCGGATTCTGTCCCGGTTGCCCCTCTTCCAGGCCAGCCCTCTGCTGTGGCCCGGGAGTGCAGTGGAGGATGGCCCAGGTGCTTGGGCCCTGCACCCCATGGGAGACCAGGAGAAGTACCTGGCTCCTGACTCCTGCCATCGGATCAGCGCGGTGCGCCGGCCACATCGCGCTGGCCGCGGCGGCCATTGGAGGGTGAACCAACGGCAAAGGAAGACCTTTCTCTCTGTCTCTCTCTCTCTCACTGTCCACTCTGCCTGTCAAAAAAAAATAATAAAAAAAAAAGACTTATTCTATGCATCTGCTCTCCCACAATATGGCGCTGGGAGAGGAGGAAACAGCTTCTACACAGCTGCCTCTCACCAACTTGACAAGCTGCAGGAGCTGCTCCTGATTGGAGGAGAGCAGCGTACTCGGCGTGTGGGTAGCAGAGTTGGGATTGGTGGAAGAGGACTATAAAGGAGGAGAGAGACAACATGCACCAGGAACACCTGAGGAACATCTGAGCAGCCCCCGAGAGAGCCGGCCGGCGGTGTGCCGCTCCCCCGCGGAAGTGGGGAAAGTGGCAGGGGGGCCCGCCCCTCCACGGAGGTGGAAGGGTCGGTAGCCAACCTGGGAAGAACCAGCAACAAACCCGGGGAGGGCAGAGCAGACAAAAGAACAGCGCAGGGTCCTGTGTCGTTCCTCCATGAAGAGGGGGAGCGACATATATATATATCTAGATATCTAGATATATCTACATATAGAGAGAGAATCTTCCATCTATATAGATATCTAGATAGTCTCTCTTTCTCTTTATCTTTCAAATAAATAAGGAAATAAATCTTCCAAAAAAAAAAAAAAAAGCTCAAATCTAAGAGCTGCATGCTTGAGGGGGCAAAAGTTCCTACAATCACTTTGCCAGCAGCAGTCTGTATCCTTGTGATATGGAAGCCAGTCTCAGGCAATCCCAGGGCTGCCCCAGCTGTGGAGCCCATTCAGTGACACAGTCGGTTCACACCAGCTCTCATTTGTATGTGAACGGAACACAAAGCAGCTAGAGAACTCCACTACAGGGTCTTTCGTTCCACTGAACAGTGTGATCAGTTATTCTATGGACACATTTGTTATATAATGCGTACATATCTTCTAGGTTTTTACACTCATTTTTTACATCTGATTTTAGTGAACTCTTTTTTTTTTTTTAACAGGCAGAGTGGACAGTGAGAGAGAGAGAGACAGAGAGAAAGGTCTTCCTTTTGCCGTTGGTTCACCTTCCAGTGGCCGCCGCGGCCAGCGCACCACGCTGATTCGCTGGCAGGAGCCAGGTACTTCTCCTGGTCTCCCATGGAGTGCAGGGCCCAAGCACTTGGGCCATCCTCCACTGCTCTCCCAGGCCACAGCAGAGAGCTGGCCTGGAAGAGGGGCAACCGGGACAGAATCCGACGCCCCAACTGGGACTAGAACCCGGTGTGCCGGCGCCGCGAGGCGGAGGATTAGCCTAGTAAGCTGCGGCGCCAGAGTAAACTCTTTTTTTAAAATGTGTTTATTTGTTTGAGAGGCAGCATTACAGACAGAAAGAGGAAGAGATAGAGAGAGGTCTTCCATCTTTGGTTTACTCCCCCAAAAGGCTGCAATGGCCAAAGCTCAGCAGATCCGAAGCCTGCAGCCAGGAGCTTCTTTTGGGTCTCCCACATGGGTGCAGGGTCCCAAGCATTTGGAGCATTTTCACTGACTTCCAGGTCATTAGCAGAGAGCAGGAGCGGAGTAGAACTGGACCGGAAGAGGAGCAGCTGGGACAGGAACCGTCGCCTGTGTGGATGCCAGTGCTCAAAGCAGAGGCTTAACCTACTTTGCCACAGCTCTGGCCTCTGATTTTAGTAAATTCTTGCTTTTGTACTAATATTATATACTTTATTTGACAGATAGACAATGAGAGAGAGAGACAGAGAGAAAGGTCTTCCTTCCATTGGTTCACCCCCAAAATGGACTATGGCCAGTGCTGCGCCGATCCAAAGCCAGGAGCCAGGTGCTTCCTCCTGGTCTCCCATGCAGGTGCAGGGCCCAAGCACTTGGGCCATCCTCCACTGCCTTCCCAGGCCTCAGCAGAAAGCTGGACTGGAAAAGGAGCAACCGGGACTAGAACCCGGAGCCCATATGGGATGCTGGCGCCACAGGCAGAGGATTAACCAAGTGAGCCACGGCGCCTGCCCACTAACATTATATACTTAATATAGGTAGCAAGCCCACGATACTTAAAACAATTAAAATGGAAGGAGTTCTGTGCATTGGATTTGACATTGGCAAAGCCTGTGGTAGTTGTCCTTTAAATGTGGTGCCTTTGCATTGCCTGCTCTCGAATGAGATGTGTGAGCCCCAGACTTTGAGCAATAATGGAAACTTCCTTCTACTGCAGTTCTTGGCTCAAAGATTGAATTGTAACCCTTCTATGCTGCGGATTGTATTTCAGTATTAATGCATGCATCTGATACAAATAAATGGGCTGTATAATAGGGAAAGATGCCAGATATGGGGAAATGTTAATTATTGCTCTGCAATCATGGAAAGTTTTCATGGGTCTACAGAGCTCCAAATGCTATGATATTGTCCTTGCATTCGATCATAAAGGGATTAGAAAAATCTACCTGCCCATGTTCTTTTACAATGAGAATGGAAAGAAATACATTTTATTTAAGCAAGAATGTATTTGATAAATGTTGTAGCAGGTTCAGACTTATCTAGATTTTTTTTAATTGATCCTAAGATGAGAGTTTGAGTTGACTGTATGAAAGAAGTATATATGTTTTCATGATGATAGGCCTTCAAAATTATTAGTTAAATGGTTGAAGCATTATCAGTAAATGCTGGATTAATTTTTTAAAGATTTATTATTTGGAAGACAGAGTTATGGGGGGGGACAGAGGAAGAGAGATCTTCCATCTGCTGGTTCACTCCCCAGATGGCTGCAATGGACACAGTTGAGTCGATCTAAAGGCAGTAGCCAGGCACTTCTTCCAGGTCTCCTACATGAGACAGGGGCCCCAGCATGTGCGCCATCTGCTGCTGCTTTCCCAGGCTCATTAGCAGGGAGCTGGATGGGAAGTGGAGCAGACGGAATTCAAACTGGTGCCCTTATGGGATGCTGACACCGAAGGCAGTGGCTTTACCTGCTACGCCACAGTGCTAGCCCCGGGATTAATCTTATGTTAGAGAAAAGATAGGTGGTACAGCCAGTTCAAGAAAAATAATCAAAATTGGAGATCCTAGATGTAAACTCACCATTTATTTCCAGTCAAGAGAATTTTTCCATAAAATTTGTTTAACTTTTTGCATCTCTAAGTTCCTGTCAGTCAAATTAGGCATGCTCAGAATTAGGCCCATAGAGAATTTATTCTGGAGATTGTCTATCCAAGACTGCACTTTAGCTGAAATCTAACTCTTGTTTCTGTAGCCACAGAGGGAAGGTCTCCCTGAGGCTGCCAATTTTAGAGGCTGTAAATTAAAAACTACTTGCTAGTGTTTCTATTTTTACTAATGTATGTATTACTTATTAACAACTACATCTGGTTTTAACCAGTTCCTCCAATAGAATTTTGCTCCAGGAGGTCTCAAATTTTAATGTATATAAAAGTCACCTGGGCATCTTGTTAAAAGCAGGTACCAATTCTACGAGGGGACAACATTCTGCGGTTTTAACAAGCTCACAGGTGATGCCAATGATGCTGGTCCGAGGACCATTCTTTGAGCAGCAAGGAACTAACTTTTCTTTCTCCCTCCCCAACTTTCTCTTCTCCCTGTTTTCCTCTCTTTCCCTCCCCTCTCTCGTTATCAGTGAATGGTTAGGTACAGCACTGTTTATTCTTAGAGGATCGGTGATTGTCTTCAGTCCTTCCATCACCAACTTGCAAATATCTGTTTGTCTTGTCAAGTGTGAGGGAAGTCGGGGAGCTTGGGGGCATGCATTCAGAGGGCAGCGAACACTCCCACACTCAGCCCTGCAGATTCCCATCTATCCCAAGGCTGTGAAGTTTGGTCTTTGTGTTTGTGTTTTGTTTTGTACAGTACAGAGCCAGAGGGAGATCTTCAATCTGCTGGTTCACTCCCCAGATCCCTGCAACAGTCAGGGCTGAGTCATACCAAAGCCAGGAGTCAGAAACTCAACCCAGGTCTCCCACGTGGGCAGTGGGCAGCATGCAGCAGGGGCGCAGACACTTAGGCCATCACCTGCTGCCTCCGAGAGTGCACATTAGCAGGAAGCTGGAATTGGAAACAAAGCCAGCATCTGAATGAAGGCTCTCGGATGTGGGATGTGGGGGTAAAAAGTGGCTTCGCACCCACTGCACCGAATGCCTCCCCAAAGTGTTGTTTTGTCTGTTGCTCACACTGTCCCATGTCTCGTTAGGACTGTCAGACACCCCACTCTGAGTTCTGTGTTCTCATGCTTTTAGTCTCAAGTTACATAGGAAGGCTGCAATTTTAACAAGCTCACAGGTGATGCCTATGATGCTGTCTGAGGACCATACTGTCCTGCCGGCTGTGGCTGTGCTCACTGTTGAGTGCTTTAACTGGTGGTATATAGCTGTGCCACTTCATTTCACTGCTGTTTGGGAAGGACCCAAGGAATAGTGGTACTGATGAACAGAATCCTAGGTCACAGCCCTATCTATCACCAGTAGGAAGCGATGTCTTAGGCTTTGTGATTTGTTGGGAAATCTGCTGGAGCCTGAAAGTGGCCAGACTGGAGACAGTGTCTTCAGCTGGATAAAGTGACTTTATGATCAGCCAGGCTAACCAGAAATTATCTAAGACTTGCCCCAGTTCTCCCCTTTGATGTGGTTTTCACACCCATTGCTCCTACGATTAAGGGTGATTAGGACAGTGTTGTTCACTGGCATTTTTAACATGCTCCAAAAGTGGGCAAAAATCTCCTAAGCCATGCACTAATGGAATGATGCACTGGCCCTCTGTTTCTTTACTTTTAGTTCAAATATCTTGAAGTTCACAACATACGGGTCCAAATCATGCTTTGTATTAAGAAATAAACAGTCTAGGTATTTTAAAAAGGTTTGATTGACTTGACATTCTAAGTGGGGTCTCTGAGTTGGACAGCTCATGTCGGGGTAGTGTTTCATCCTGGCCAGAGTGCCCCAACATGACCACCCTGAGACCAAGGCAGAGCAGCTGGGGACAGCCGGGAGCCACAGGTGCAGATGAAAGTGAGAATAAAAGGAGAAGTTGGGGCCGGTGCTGTGGCTTAGCAGGTAAGGCTGCCACCTTCAGTGCCAGAGTCCCGAATGGGCGCTGATTTGAGTCCCAGCTGCTCTACTTCTGATTAGCTCCCTGCTAATGTACCCAGGAAGGCAGCAGAGGATGGGCAAAGTGTTTGGGCTCCTGCACCCACGTGGGAGAGCTGGAAGGAGCTCTTGGCTTCCTACTGGTCCAGCTTTGGTTGTTGGAGCCATTTGGGGGCTGAACCAGCAGAAGGAAGACCCCCCCCCCACAACTCTGCCTTTCAAATAGATAAATCTTAAAAAAAAAAAAAAAAAAAAGGCATGACTTAGATGGCGAAGAAATGCCTTGAAAGGCTTTCAAAGATCTGGACTAATCAATGGCAGAGCAGCATGAATTATCTGACCTAAAGCAGCAAACTACCTGTGTGCACATTTGGAAGACAGGGTACCCACCAGTTCATTCATGGCGCGTTGATTAGTGGGGGTTATCTTCTACACTTCTGTTTTTTCTTATCTATGTATGATGCATGCATTTTGTTAAGTGACCTTGGTATTCCCTGGTGGTATAGTTCAGCTCACAAGAGGTCCCCAGCCTCCTGCAGGCTGAGCAGCTTTGGAGGGGGGGCCCTCAGCTGAGGCTGGGGGTGGGAAGGGACTGGCAGGAACAGAGGGCAGTCTATGGAGCCATTCCCACTTTCTAGAAATCCACTCCAACTAGACCAGATGGCTTCTGCAGGGCCCAAAGAGGGGCTGGGCCAGGAGAGGAGCCACAGGCTGGGCGAGAAGGGAACAGCAGCACCCCAGCACCCCCACTTCCTCTCTGCTGAGACCTTCCGTTCCTCCAAACACAGAGCCCCTCAGCCACCTCTGTGCTGGCAGACGCTGCCATCCAGAACAGGGTGACCAAGGGCCCACCCCAGGCAGAGGCGCAGTCTAGAGCTGTGCTCTCATTTCAGTACATCCCCATGCCGGTGCTGTACGGAGTCTTCCTCTACATGGGCGTGGCCTCCCTGAATGGCATCCAGGTAAGGCTCTCCCAGCCCAGGCTGATAGGGCTTGGAGTCAACATTCCCCACTTGGTCCCGTGTCATCAAACCCCCAAATGCTTGCTGCCCCAGTGCACTGGAAGTGTTAGTAATGATGCTGTTGTTTACTTGTACCATGGGCCAGGCAACATAGCTATAGTAAGTGCTTTATGGGTGCATCTGATTTAACCTCTATAATTAGCTCCTCTGGTCCCCATTTTACAGATGGAGAAACTGAGACTGAAAAACCTAGGTCAAACTAACTCCAATGAGCTTTTTGCTACCCCTCCTCTCTCTTCCCTAAGGCAACTCCACAGAAGAACACATTTTGTTCTACCTACCCCATGTCTTAGATAGCTTGTTTTGCATGTAAGTTGCATTTCCCTCAGATAGGTACACTGTTCATCTTGTGGTCAACTGCAGAGCCATGGCCCTCACCCAGGGCTCCGGACCCTTTCCCTGAGACCCCCGTTAAGTATCTGCCCACACATCTCCACCCGCTCCTGCGTGTCCTCAAGTTCTGACCAGGGCATCCCCGCTCTAAGAACCGTAGCGGGATCCCTTCTCCCCGTGCCAGCCCCAGCAGGCCCCCAGGGCCCGGCTGCCTGGCTGAGCCCCGCGCTGTCCTCGCCAGTTCTGGGAGCGCTGCAAGCTCTTCCTGATGCCGGCCAAGCACCAGCCGGACCACGCCTTCCTGCGGCACGTGCCCCTGCGCCGGATCCACCTCTTCACGCTCGTGCAGGTCCTCTGCCTGGCCGTGCTCTGGATCCTCAAGTCCACGGTGGCCGCCATCATCTTCCCGGTCATGGTAAGGCTGCCGCGGGCTCCGGCCCTCCTCGGCTGGGAGCACCCACCTCCCCATCTGCCTTCCGCCTTCTCACCCGTGGCTTCCCTCGGGTGGGCCGCAGAGGCGGGCCCAGAGCAGGCCGCCGGCCGGGTGGGAGGACTTGGGTGTGGTGGGCGGGCCCAGGAGCTCATGAAAGCCTCCAGCCCCCAGGCGCTGGGGGCCCTGGAGAAGCCCTTCCCGGCTACCAGACGCTGGCACTTCAGGTTCAGAAGCAGATCACAAGGAAGTGTAAATCTCAAAAGAAAAAAAAATTTGCCTTTGCCTAGGTGAGAGGTTTTTGGAAAAACCCAGCTAGTCTTACCCTGGGCAGAGGTTGTCTAGTTGGTCTAACTTGAGATTTCAGAAACTTTGAGTTACTGTGCAAGATTACTTTTTTCATGCTGTCATTTGTAATATGTTTTTGTGAGAATCCTTGGGATAAAAGTTTTGGTTAAAATTGTTGTTTAACTTGGAAAAAAAAAAAAGGAAGTATAAATCTTACCAGCCCCAAAGAACAGAGTCGGACAAGCAACTGGTGAGGGAACGAGCCAAGATCAGATCAGGAACTGCAGAACCCAGCGAGGGCAGAAGTTCCGGCTGCAGAAGGGTGCACAGCTGTTCTTGGGCTGTTCTTGCCAGTTTCACCTAAGTGTGAAATTATTTCCAAATAAAGTTACAAGCCCACAATGTAGCCCCCTAGATAAGACCACCAGGCGGCCCTGGGCCCTGCTGCAGGACTGGAGCTCCAAGCTGAGGATGGAGGCACCTGGAGGCCTGGGCCCACGTAGACACAGGTGAGACTTGACCTGTGTGCTCCTGGGAGGGCTCCAGCCGGGGCCTCCTGACCTTGGCAGCTGATTAAGCTCAACCCAGATGAATTAAGTCAGAATCTCAGGGAAGCTGGGCTTTTGTTAGTGAAGCCGAAGGTGCGCCGAGGTGTGGCCAGGGTTGAGAAGCACCTGGCAGCCCCACCCGGACTTCAGCGCTGACCAGGGAGGCCGCTTCCTGTTTACTGAGCTGCTCCATCGAGGCCGCAGCAGTCCCGGCAGCACTACTGGTAACCCTGCCTCACGGATGAGCAAATGAGACAGCATGAGAGAGAGCCAGGATGGGAAGAGCGAGATCAGAATCCATGTCAACCTTTAATGGCACACAGTGAGATTCCCTCTGCCGTTCTATAGTTTTGACAACTATACAGAATGGTGATTCCACCACCATAGTCAGGATACAGAACAGCTCTGTCATCCCCAAAAATTCCCTCTTGCCACCAACTCTGGGTGGGCAGTGCCTCTCCCCACCTCTACCCCTAGCAACCACTGATCTGTTTTCAGAGCCAGGATTTTTTTTTAAGACTGATTTATTTACCTGAAAGACAAAGTTACATAGAGGCAGAGAGAGAGGTCTTCCATTTGCTGGTTCACTCCCCAAATGGCCACAAAGGCCAGAGCTGCGCTGATCCAAAGCCAGGAGCTTTATCCCAGTCTCCCACAAGGGTGGAGACACCAAGAACTTGGGCCATCTCTGCTTTTCCAGGCCGTAACAGAGAGCTGGATCAGAAATGGAACAGCCGACTCAAATCAGTGCCCATATGGGATGCCAGCACTGCAGGAGGCGGCTTTACCTGCTGTGCCACAGCGCCGGCCCCTGGAGCCAGCATTTTTAAAACCCAGATTTGTCTCCATCTCTGCTTGCTTCCAAGAAGCAGTGATAGTGAAGCACCTGTGCTCCAAACACTGCGCGGCTTCCTGCCGACCTGTACGGGCCAATTCTTGGTGGTGAGAGGGCAGTACATGTAACTAGCCACCTGGGCCTGCTGAACTTCTAAGAGGTCAGCTTTTACTCTCCCCCAAAGAGCACTTGTTTCCTCCTTGAATTTGTTCATCGTGAACAAAAGCAAATTGTCTAAACTGCCCTTTAAAATTCCAGCTCTCTCACTATACGATATCCAGCTTTCGTAAACAGAGGTCGGAAGCTCTCAGAAACGAGGGCTTACGGTGAGTCTGCAAACGTGGTCCCTGGGCTGGTGCAGCAGCAGCACCTGAGGAACTTAGGGATGCACATCCCCAGCCCCCCTCCCCCACCTGCTGAATCAGACTCCAGGTGAAGCCCGACTCGAGCCTGCAGGTGCTTCTCATGGCTGCTTGAGTTTGGGAAGCACTGACTTAAAGAGTAACCGCAGTTTCTGGCCCGTGATCTCTCCCCTCCCACCCCCGGCTCCCCTCCTGTCATGAGCTCCGTCTCTCTTGGTCGCTGGTAAACATGGTCACTCGCCTGAAGTAAAGGCCAGCTGAGGGAAACCAGGGTGGGGACTAAAGGTTTGTGGGAGCTTTGGGATGGCTCCGAAACACTGGCCCCACAAAGTCCCCCTACCACGCTGGCTGAGGGAGACTCTGGGGCGCTGAGCCCACAGCTGTTTGAACTCGCGCTTCCCTCCCCCTCCTCAGATCCTGGGCCTCATCATCGTCCGAAGGCTTCTGGACTTCATCTTCTCCCAGCACGATCTGGCCTGGATTGACAACATCCTGCCCGAGAAGGAGAAGAAGGAGACAGACAAGAAGAAGAAAAAGAAGGGGGCCCACGAGGACAGTGACGAGGAGGTGGGGGAGATGTGAGGCCTGGGCGGAGGGGAGACATTGAGAGACCCTCCTTCCACCTCCACGGGGGCCAGGGAGCTGGGGTGGCTTCTCCGGTGGCCCACGCCTGGGGCCAGTCCAGCCGAGGGCTTATCGCTTGGCTGGACCACTCTCCAGGTGGGCCAGAGTGAAGGGCTCTGCCCAGGCAGAAGCCAGTTGGCTGGGCCCCTTCTCTTCCATGGCTGGGCCGCCATCAACAGCAGTCAGGTGCTTGAGGGAGTCGCTTGGGAAATGGCTCCAGCTTGCCAGGAGCTCATGAGGAGTGACCTCCAGAGGCTGGAGCAGCCTGGGGGAAAGCTCTGATGGGAATGCGTAAGCTCCCTGGGCTCCGGGACAGTGAGGGGGGCTGGGGACAGGCTTGGCTTGGCCTGCCTGGGAGGTGTTAGGGATGAGCGGTGGGCGGGGGAGGAGTCCCCCTGACACTGGGTACGTTCCCATCAGTGGCCCCATTTGCCTCTTTCCCTCCCGTGCTTCCTTCCTGTCCCACCCCCAAAGCTCTCCAAGACCCACAGACAAGGAGCCAGTCTGGAAATGACAGTGAAGTGTTAAATGGAGAGATTGTCTAGTTCAGGTGCTCATAACAGAGGATGAAACTGTCCCCCATAAGAGAAGTGATGTGCTCCAGCTTGGCTTAGCGCTCCATGTCTCTGAGGGAATTAAGAAAACGTTCCTGACTTGGACCCTGTTGATTTCCAGTATACCGAGCTGCCCAGACCATGTCCGTCACCCCGCGTCCACCCTGCCCTGCTGTGCAGATCCTTGCTGGCTTTTGAGGGTAGTGAGCAGCCCTTAATTACTTCCTGCTTCCAGGGAGGAAAGGGCCCATCATTGTTCATCCGTTTCTTATAGTGACTTGTGAAGATAGCTGCTGACAACAGTTTAAGGGCTTTTAAATACAATTTTTGAGAAGACTTATTTATTTAGTTGCAAGGCAGAGTTACAGGGAGTGAGGGAGAGACCGAGATCTTCCATCTGCTGATTCACTCCCCAAATAGCCGCAGTCAGGGCTGAGCCAGGCCAAAGCCAGGAGCCAAGAGCATGGATTCATCCAGTGAATATCTGAGTGACTTCTATGTGCCAGGAACTGTTCCAGGGCTGGGGAAAAGCATTTCTGAACTGTGACATATTCGATGGGAAACAGGACTCGGCTTGCACAAATTCACTTTACACATCTACAGCAGCATGGCTACTGTGTGGGATTCAGTCCCCAGCGACTGGTTATGGCAGATGGAACTGTTCCGAGGAGTAGCACTCTTGGGAGAGTTCCATCCTGTCCGCGCATGTTTAGAACAGCGGCTACCTGTGCCCTTGCCCCCTCCCCCCTGCATCCCAGGGCACTTGGCGCATCCCTTGGTGCCCAGGCTGTGTAGAAGAGGATGGTGGTTTGCACTGCAGAGCGTGCACCTCCCATCTTGGCAGGAAAGCCAAAGCTGTTGACTGGTGGTGTTTATCAGCGTTTCCTACTGTCTCTCTCCAGCCCCAGTTCCCTCCTCCCTCAGTTATAAAGATTCCCATGGAAAGTGTCCAATCAGATCCCCAAAACGGTATCCACTGCATTGCCAGTAAGTAAAATACTTGGGTGTCTCTCCTTTCTGCTTTCTGCTAATCCTGCAGCTCTTCCCCTAAGGAACTTCCATCTGCAGCGTTTTGCATGGGAGGGGACTCCTGTGCTGGGCAGGGCGTGAAGAGAACTGAGCCACAAGCCCTGGGACTCCCCCCGGAGACCCCAGAGCAAACCCTGCAGACTCCAGTGACCAGTCTTTACCTGTGTTCAGGCCAAGCCCCTCCTTCCTCTCCTTGCTGCTCCCAGAGGCCCGTGGCACTGCCTGGTCCTCTCCTGTGCTGTTTGAGAACACGTCAGTCCACATGTGTTTCTCAGTTGTGGTTGAGATGATGGAGTGCAAATCAGAGCCTAGTTTTCCCGTTTAGAGAAACAGGAGGGCACCTGCAGGTAAATATGTTGGAACTGAGGGGCCCAGTCATGCTGTGATTCTGTATGAATCGCAAAGTCCCCTCCATTACGGGGAGGGTGGCTGCCTGGGCGGGATCGGGCTCTGCTTATCACCCCGGGAGCCTCTGTCTCTGCCTTTATTTAACCCCTCCCAGTTTCAGCTCCCTATTGGTGACCACAGTCTATCCTGGGAGTCTCCTGAGGATCCCAGCCTGGCCCTGGTGCTTTTATTATAGGCCTTGCCATATTCCTCAAAGAGGCAGATCGGGGCGGGTGGCCAGGGGAGCCCGCCAGCACCCTCCGAGGCCCTGCGGGCTTCCCATCACCACTCCCCAGCACAGGTTCTCTGGCTCCCGCACCCCAGGTGTGTACTTCCCACTGCTTCTTTGTCTTCCTTCCTTGGCCCTCCTCCTGCCTCATACCCTCCCTACCTGGCTGTCTCTGGGAGGCCGCAGTGTTGACCCTAGGGTCCCAAAAGAGGAAAGCAGAGATGGTAGGGGAAGCCCCAGGGAGGCAGGACGTCCTCCAGTGAGGTGCCCGGGCCTGCTCCCCATCTGACACTTTGATTCTCATGCCAGGAAAGAGATCTTCCAGTTGGAGTAACTCACTCTGATGCTTCCTTCACTGGCTCAGAACTCGATCGCAGGTAAAAGCCTGGATAGACTCCTTGGGGATTAGACTCGGCACTAGCCAGGACGGTGAGGCACTGGGATGTCCCAGGCTGGCCCACGTTGCAGTAAAAGGCCTTTGCTGAGAGATGAGGGCTGAGGGGCCCAGTACAAATGTGTCTTCTTTCTGACACGGAACAATGAGGGTACAGCCCACAAAGTACTCAACTCTAGAAAAGGAAGTTACTGCAAGATACCAGGTAGGACAATTGGAAGTAAATGTTGGAAAAAAAAGGAAACTAGACATGGCTTAAAGATGTATTGAAGCCAGGAGGAATGAACACTAAGGCTTCAGATACTGAGGATCTGTGAAGAAATCCCAGGAAAAGTCAGCAAGGCATCCAGCAAGCTAACTGAATAGCAAAGATTAGGTAGAAGTAGGAGCAGGAGTCAAGACTGAAGGCCCAGATGCCAGGGACCGCAGGCCCACTGGGACTGTGGGTGTTCTGCATGAGACGCCTTGTGAACAAAATGGGACTACTTGATTGCACACACGGGGCTCAAACACGGGAAAGGGAGCTCAGAGGCAGGAAAATCAGGAAGATGGCAGAGGCAGCCCCACTCCTCCCTGTGCCCTGGAACCGACAGGACTCGCTCTGAGCTGGAATGGGCACAAGAGCACGGGCATCCTGTGTCTAGAGGCAGGTAAACCTTGACTTAGATGACGCTTAGAAATATTTATGAGATCTTCTTGTGAGGCAAAGCTGACATCACAATGCCAAGAGGAGGAGACAGCACCGAGGCAACCCTCCCCCAAAGATGCCGCAGCCCGGGGTCAGGTGGCTGAATTACATTTCTGCTTCCTTCCCAGCCCGCATCCCCGGCCAGGGCTCCCACGCCTTCATTGCAGCTGAGCTTTACATACACGTGAGGGGGAAGCAGCTTATCCTGAATTATTTTCATGTAAAAATAATTTACACCAAATCAAATTTTAATCCCCCGATTTCAGGCACTGGAAAGAGAATTTGGACCCCAGGACATGGCATTTCCCAAAACCCATTAAAATTACATAAGGCCATGTGACAAGATCAGAAATGCAGAAAATTTAGCAGTGGAGATGGCAACGCCCAACTACACTGGTGTTTCACCAAATCTATGGAGGGAAAGATCACTAAGTAGCCAAGATTCCATTTTAGTAAAGAAAAGGCCAGCAACAGGACCCAGTTTAATGAAGGTTAAGCATCAGAGATCTCCCGGGCACGGTGCTTAAGCCCTGGGGATGAAGACGTGTCAACCAAGGCCACACTGCGAGTGAAACAGCACATAGCACGTGGGAGGGAAAGGCCAGGGCTTGCACAGGATTAGCCTTCTGGAGAATCTGGGGAACATCAGTGAGAATCGGCCCAGAAGTGGGGGAGAAAGGGGTGCGAACAGGCTTGAGGACCATTTGCACACACACAGGACAGCCAAGAATACGGGCATCAAACACAAGAGCAGGGTAATCAAACTTCAGTAGAGGCCAACCACAGAAGGTCCTGTTGGGTCACCCACTAGAGCTGGATTCAGAAGTGTGACCTAGCGAGTACGCCCTGGCAGTGATGTGAAGATAGGCTGAGACGGGGCAAGACCAGTTCCGTAGCGGAAAGTGAAGCCGATTAAGACAGTTTGTTCTCATGAGGCATAGAGAGGACTACTGTCATCAGAGCCCTGCTTGGGGGAAGAGTCCAAAACCAGATAAATCATTCTTCCTTCCCACCTCTCGTCCAGCATCACCTTGCACTTCAAAATTTCCTGTCCAGCTTCACCTGCTTTCAACTACTCCCGGAACCCTGTCTTCATGGTGCCACAGGTGAAGATAGAGATGGAGTCAGACTATGACTTCACAGACGTGGACAAATATGGCAGAGAGGCTGACGGTGAGACCACGCTCTAGGATGACACAGCCGCTCCCAGACCGGGAAGAGTGAGGGCCTGGGTGAATCCCCCAACTTCTCTGTGCCTGTCTCCCATGTACCAGAGGGACTCGTACCTGCTAGAAAGCTGGAGGTCGGTCTGTGCATTCTCCTTAGAGGCAACGCCCCCCCCCCCCCATTGTAGTTACTAAAATACCTAAATGCTGTATCTTATTTTAAAATGAAGTCCAGCATAGGAGCGACATTCTTTTGAAATGAAAAAATGCTTGTCTCCCAACACTGTAGCTAAGACTAAAGGAGCAGTAGCCCATTTGTATTTGAAATATCAATTTTCTAAAAAAGGTTAGATTTAAATCTAGATGGTTTGAAAGAATTCTTAGAACACTCTTATGTATTTGAAAGGTCCTGTCTTTTCTGTCCATCTCACTGGGTTTTCTAAGTGTGAACCACCTGCATTGTGGGCCTTGTTCCAGAAACGTGATGGGTGATGGAGGCGTTCCCAGATTGAAAAAACAGTCCCAAAGTCTCTTAGTGGGAGAACCAACACATCTAAGTGAATCAGCGTTTTTAAAATAGAACAGTTCTTAAGAAATCTCAAAGCACTTGTTGGACCAACAATGACTCTTTAAATCCGCATGACTGGTTTTGCAAACCCGAAGTCAAGTTTCTTTTGGCATTTGGATGGGTCCTTGCTACAAATTTTCAAGGGCTGATTCTCAAAGTCAAACTTCCATTCACATGAACATCCCACATTAGGCAAAGCTAATGTCTTATTTTAGAAGATTATAACTTTGCAACAATAACCAAACCAGTACTTTAAAAGAATAATTAAATGCAATTCGGGTAGCCCAAAACCAGTCATTATAGAAACAAACTCTTTTCCCACGAAACTTAACATCAATCATTTTAGCTTCAATCTGTATTCTAATGAGCAGCAGGGCATCTCCAAAACAACTATGGATTTGAGTTTTGAGTAAATCATTTTGATCACCGCATTTATTCAAGACAACAAATGCAGGTGCTTTTTGTCTTCAAAGACAGATGACCCTGGATCATGAATTCCTTGAGTAGCAGAACAGGTGAATAACCATCTGTGCAATCCTCAGAGCCTAGTAGAGTGCTCGGTTCATAAAGTCCTCTATGAGTGGTCTTGAATTCAATTCATCTCGGAGCGCCCTCCCGAGGGATACTGCCAAGAGCCATGGCTCTAAACCTCCGCCCCTCCGCGATAGCAGCAGGTTTACTTAGCTGTTCGTGAACCCAGGAACTTCACCCGAGCTTATGTCTAAATTCCCTGCCTTCCTCTGCACCAATCCTGGGAGAGCTAACGATCTACCCGGAACATCTGTTGTAGAGCCTGACTGACTTGGAATAGCATTTTGTCCAACTGTAGAAATGTTACGGATTCAGGAGTAAATGTGCTTGATTAATCAAACAAGCTGTAAAACTACCATGTTAATTTGTTGATGTAAATTGATCACTGTAATTTTTACCTTAAATGGCATTTATATTTTGTATATACACAAACATTTTAATTTCCATAGTTTTTAAGAGGTTGACATACTGGAAGTCGGTAATTTTTTTCCACCTGTGATGTAACTGTCATTCAATAAAACTTCGTCCTGTCTGCCGCTCGCGCCCCATGCTTAGTAACTGAGGTGAGTGAGCAAGCCTGGCTCACAGATGTGAGCTGTAGCTCCCCTACAAAAATATCCCAGCACACTGTCCTTCATCTCCCAGAAAGAATAAACCAGCCAGAACAAGGAAGGAGGCAGTGGGTCGGTTCTGGATGGTTCTCGTTCTTGCTGCCTCAAGCTGCCTAGAGCTGGAGCCACCTCAGCCCACACAGAAGCCCAGATACACAGCTCTGGTTAAGAACCTGGGGAGGACCCATCCCAGTCTCAAAATATGCACAGCAGACACCTAATGTCAGACTAATGCTGACACACCAGGACATGAGGCTGTGAACTTGGCGAGCACGTCAGGAAGTCCTTGGTAGCAACGTGTAGCTTGAACTCATGGTTTAGCAAGCCCTCAGAACAAGCGTAATCCCTTAGCTGAATCTTCCTGACTGAATTCCTAGCTCCACACAACCTGCTGGAATGTAAGACTGAAAGGACGAGACTGGTTTCTTCATAGGTCTTTAAAGCAATTTGGGGGGCCGTGCTGTGGCGCAATGGGTTAATCCTCCACCTGTGGCACTGGCATCCCACATGGGTGCCGGTTCTAGTCCCGGCTGCTCCTCTTTTTTTTTTTTTTTTTATTTGACAGAGTTAAGACAGAAAGGTCTTCCTTCCGTTGGTTCACTCCCCAAATGGCCAATGCGGCCGGCGCTGCACTGATCCGAAGTCAGAAGCCAGGTGATTCCTCCTGGTCTCCCATGCGGGTACAGGGGCCCAAACACTTGGGCCATCCTCCACTGTGCTCCCAGGCCACAGAAGAGATCTGGACTGGAAGAGGAGCAACCGGGACTAGAACCTGGCGCCTATGTGGGATGCCGGTGCCACAGGCAGAGGATTTTTTTTTTTTTTTTTGACAGGCAGAGTGGACAGTGAGAGGGAGATCTTCCTTTTGCCGTTGGTTCACCCTCCAATGGCCGCTGCGGCCGGCGCATCGCACTGGTCTCCCATGGGGTGCAGGGCCCAAGCACTTGGGCCATCCTCCACTGCACCCCCAGGACACAGCAGAGGGATGGCCTGGAAGAGGGGCAACCGGGACAGAATCCGGCGCCCCAACCGGGGCTAGAACCTGGTGTGCCGGCGCCGCAAGGCGGAGGATTAGCCTATTGAGCGCCAACCCAGCTGCTCGTCTTTCAATCCAGCTCTCTGCTACAGCCTGGGAAAACAGTATATGGTGGCCCAAGTCCTTGGGCCCCTGCACCTATGTGGGAGACCTGGAGGAAGCTCTCAGCTCCTGGCTTTGGATCGGCCCAACTCTGGCCATTGCAGCCAATTGGGGAGTGAAGCAGCAGATGGAAGACCTTTCTGTCTCTCCCTCTCACTGTCTTAACTCTACCTTCCCAATAAAATCTTAAAAAAAAAAAAAAAAAAAAAAAAAAAAATTCATGCCAAGATAAAAAAATAAAATAAACCAATCTCTTGTAGGAATGGGTATTACCAAATATCTAGATTCATTATACCCAATAAGAAAAATTTTATCTGGTTAGGTACAGCAGGAGGAAGACAGATTTCAGAAACATTCCACACCACAGATGTGTTTTATTGAAAACACACAAAAAAACACCCTCTAATCAGAAAGTCTGATTAAATTCAGTATTAACTCGAGCTCTTAAAAATCTTTTGGGAAAGCCAACAGGGTACATGCGAAGAAGCAGGCCGCTGCTGGCACGTCTTTGGTGGACAAGGAAGTTGCATACTTGTACAAGCTGCCCTCATGATTATCAAGCCCAAGTTTTGTTTTCCAAAAGTCAGTTTCAAGAATTACCAAAGGACACAGCCAATCCAAATACGAGAAGAAACATGAATAATTTACGAAACAAGCCTTTCAACCTAGAAAACAAAAACGGGGAGGAGGGGCGCGGAAGGGTAACACACGCAGGAGGAGGGCTGACAGCAAACAGAGCAACCCTACCCGCCTCCCCAGGGTCTGACCAGGCCACGGAGACAGCTCAGGAGCACCAACGTGTAGTCTTCTTCCCATCCAATTTGGTTCTCTTTACACAAATCTGGTGATCAATCAGCATGTACAGAAATGTGGGTGACTGTTTTTAGACTTAATTGCCATGACTTCCTAAATTTTGCCTTTGCCCTAATTCTCCGCAGCAGCACTTTTCCTTTGGTTTGACCAGCTGAACTCAAAAGGTTTGGAACCTAAAATGAGATCAACTCTTACTGGAAGAGCATTTAGGAAATGCAATCCAAGAAAAGGCAAATTTTCAACTGAAGTGGCTTGACAGAGTCGGGCATCCATTATCAGTGTGACAGGGCTCCCAAGCTAATCACAAGGTCACTGGGTTCTCTGGGCTGGAGCACACGACCCAGCGGGACACTGGAATGCTCCCTGGTGAGGTTCTGTAGAGCCATATGCGCAAACATCCACCCACTTGAGCCTTGAATAAATACACAGCATCATTTTAAACCATCTCGGGAGAATAAATAAAAATATTGCATTTTCTGCTGGCCCACTTGCTTCCTGGGTTGGCTAGGAGTGCTTCGACCAGCGCGCAGGTTCAACAGTTAATTGGTGGCCACTCCCCGCTCTTTAGACTTCAGCACTTCCTGCTCTGCAGACCTCAGTACTTTTTTTGCAGCAATAATGGTGTTCTTCATTAGCATGGCCACAGTCATGGGACCAACACCCCCAGGGACTGGGGTGATGTAACTGGCTTTCTTCTTGACGCCTGCGCAGAAACAAAGACAGTCTGCTTACGGCAAAGGGCATGAGTGTGCTTTGACATACAATGAAAGACGTGTGCAGAGAAAGAGCAATAGTGTGCACAAGCACCTTCAGGAACTTCAAATTCATTTTAAAAAAATCACATTCACGTTACTCAAGGGTAAGAATTTGTTACTTCTAAATTTTTATTTATTTTGATAGATACACAGCCAGGAAGACAGAGATTTCTCTGTACTGGTCCACTCCCCAAATTCTTACAACAGATGGGGCTAGGCCAGGCCAAATCTGGGAGGAACTCAACCCAGGTCGCCCACATGGGTGACAAGGACTCAGCAACTGCTGCTTCCACGGTGTGCACTAACAGGAAGCTGGGGTTGACCTCAGGGACCACAATACGGGATGCGGGCATTCCAAGTGGCATCTGAACTGCTAGGCCGAATGCCCACCGCATTACACCCAGGAGTAATAGTTTTTGAATGCACTAAGAAATAATATGCACATAATAAGTGGCTGTTGAATGAATATTTGTAAATCTAAATAACCTGTAAGTTATTAGTCATATTTCCCTCCATATGAAACAGATTTTAAAAGAATCATCTTGGTAGGTTAACTGCGTGGGAGGTATAGCTATAATAATGAACACTACACCTGCCTACATTTGCTTAATCTTAAAAAATAATCTGCCCCAAGCAGCAAGCAAAGTGATTTTCTGGACACTGTGAATGTGAAGTCACATTTTTTTTAAAGCCAGATCTGAACGGGAAAATATTTAGATACCTAAACTTGAGTCTCCCTGCTCTAACAGAAACAAAAAGCGAGAAATAGGACTGTCAGCATAAAATTCATACAAACGTCTGACGAACAGAAAGGAGGAATCTAACATGTTCTAAATGACGGGAATATGGCTTTTTCTTGGACCATTTTAACATTCCAGGTTTGTGATCTCTCCTCTAAATGAAAATGAGAGATCTGTAACACTTTCTAGGAAACTTGGTGGTTTAAAACAGAAGATCACTTCATGAAGCGTTCAGAATTGTCAGAAGTAACAAATCCATTTCAATTAAGAAAGAAGCCTAGGGAAAAACTCCCAAAAAGTTTATCCCTGCTCTCAATAATTTTATGATATACCTAAATGATCCTAGAATGGCTAAAATTTTTATGAAAAACATTAAAACATTTTCAGTGGTATTACCGGGGTAACCTAAGTTTAAAAGTTAAATACAAAATATGTCCTAAGTGCCCATTAAAAACAGCATGTATTAGTTTTATATTTTTAAAAATGAAGCCACTTACCTTCAAAATCCACATCTCCAACTAACTTGGGCTTTGCGGTTACGGGGTCTTGAACTCTGTTTATTCCCACGTCAATCACTGCTGCTCCCTCCTTAATCATATCTGCGGTGATGAGGTTCGGGATGCCTGGAGGGGCGGGGTGGGAGACTGGGCTGTGAAGGAGATCCCACCTGCCATGTGCTTCCTTACATCAATTTCAACAGACCTGGACGAACTAGCGTAATTTTATTAAAAACCTATGAAAACTGTTCACCAAGAAACCACTGAAGCTTCTTCACACGGTACGTAAAATTTTGTGGGGTCAGTTATTAACACCCAGTCCACAGTGGAATGCCAGAAACCAGTATTCCAGCCTCTACTCTAGGTGCATCTTTTTTTAAAGATTTATTTATTTTAAAATCAGAGTTAACAGAGAGACATCACTCTTCCATCCTCTGGTTCACTCCCCAAATGGCTGCAATGGCCAGGGCTGGGTCAGGCCAAAGCCAGGAGCCAGGAGCTTCTTCCGTGTCTCCCACACGGGTGGCAGGGGCCCATCCTAGGCTGCTTTCCCAGGCACATTAGCCGGGAGCTGAATGGGAAGTGGAGCAGCCGCTGCAGCTTTGTGAACAGCAGGGGAGTGAGGATGGAATGGCAGCCGGGCAGCTCTGAGACAAGAGGTGGGACCTCAGTCGTCCGAGGCGAAGCCCTTCCTCCCCTCACCCGGCATTCCTACCTGCAGCAGATACGACAATATCTGCAAGAATGGTGTGCTTCTTCAGCTGCTCTTTGGGAGTGTACCGGTGAGATATTGTAACAGTGGCATCGCCTAGGAAGGAAAAAACAGCTGTCTTGACTGCGGAATCAAGACGGTCAAATCCCTGCCGAAATTCAGCATCTCTCAAAACTGAGATAAAGCTTGCGCTGCAGTTTCTGGACAGCTGAATGTCCTTTACATCTTAAAGTTAATACCCGGTTTCTTATAGCTCTCACCCACTG